ATGGAGAACTTGTGGGATCACTCATGTATCTGGCTACAATCAGCAGACCAGATATTGCATATACCACAGGAGTACTGAGTAGATATATACATTGTCCAAACCCACTCTATTGAAAGCCGGAAAAAGAATCCTTAGATACCTGAAACAGACAAAAGAAAAAGGGTTAGTATACAAGAAAGGAAACTGTAATGAAATAAAGTGCTTTTCAGATGCAGACTGGGGAGGAAATCGCTTGGATCGCAAAAGTGTAAGCGGCCTTGCCATATTTTATCAAGGCAACCTAATCAGTTGATCTTCAAGAAAGCAATCAACAGTAGCATTATCGACGGCAGAATCGGAGTATGTTGCAGCATCACAAACTGTAAGTGAAGCAGTATATATTATTCAAGTATTAAAAGACTTGCAAAGTGATAAAAGTTTAAGTTGTTCATTGTTTATCGATAATCAAAATACAATCAATTTAATAGAAAGTTATGAGAATAGTAAGAGAACCAAGCATATCGATATTAAAGTGCATTTTATTAAAGGTACTATTAAGAAAGGAAATATTACTGTTAATTATGTAACAAGTCAAAATAATAAAGCAGATTTACTTACCAAATCCTTGCCAAAACAAAGACACCAGTATTTATGTGATTTACTGAATTGGTAACTGAATATGAGTCTCTTACTTTTCAACCCTCTATTATATTGAATTTGGGCGTAAAGAAACACGATCCAAATGCTAATTCTTATTTTAATGAGATACTGGCTCGAGATTGGAATAGTTGGCTAACGGTATATACAGATTCTTCTAAGTTATCTGATAGTGGTAATGTTGGGGTAGCAATTTGGATACCTAAATTTAAAATCATTTTAAACTATAAATACCCCCCTCAAACCTCTACATTCACTGACGAAGTTATCGCCTTATATGAAGCTATTTGCTATGTGAAATCTCATAATCTTAACAAAACTATAATATTCTCGGATCCATTAAGTGCCCTTCAGGACATATTAAAATTCCCATTTCACTCCAAAGATAATTTTATTATCACATTAAAAATTAAACATGAACTTCGACAATGCCAACTTGCTGGTATTGAAGTAGTCCTGTCTTGGATTCCAAGTCATAGTAGAGTCGTTGGTAATGAAACTGCTAATTTATGTGCCAAAGACGCTATACATATTGGAACTGTAATTACCAAGTGCTTTACCAGGGACCTTCGCTCTTTAGGTAATCCTACGATGATGTCTGGTTGGAATAACTTATGGCAACGTACCCGAAAAATAATAGGTAAACATTATGGTGCAATACAGCCAAATTTACCTGTCAAACCGTGGTTTTTTATAAATCGGGGACTCTCCAAACAAACCATTTCCCTTATCATTAGATTACGCTTAGGCTATATATGTTCTCCGGTGTTTTTGTTTTTTTGGTTTCGGCACCAAAAATGTTAGTGTTCTAGCTGTATTTTGCTTTATTTTAATATTTTAAATTTTATGAAATAAAAGACTTGTTGACAGCTAGAAAAAGAATAAGTTTTTATTTTTTATTAAATTCAAATTATTATAAATACCAAAAAGTTTTCATGTGTTAACATACTGCCCGCGGCAAAAAGTTATAAAGAATAAGAAACAACAAACTGATCCTTAATTATTCTATAGGTAATATTACTATTTTAGATATGGCCCTTATATAAATCTTACGATCAGGGGTCGTCACTTTAACAGTGCGGACTTTGGAGTCCGATCCTTTATTTCAATGGGCGGAAGCTTCGAACCAGCAGATGAGTTTGTTGATGGAAGAGTCTTAATGATGGTGTGCTGATTTAATGCAGCACACAGTTTAAAATAGCGTTCTTCCATTTCGGCTTCATCTTCGTCGTCGCTTGGATCGTAATGCATGATGTGCGCATTGATGGCGGTGTATTTTTCATAAGCATCCTCAAGAGCCCCCTTACGGAGCTGTAGCGATTCAGCGTCAGCAACCCCAGATGAGAGAAAAATCTCCAACCGCGTAATGGTCGCCTTACTGCGACTGCGTTCGAAGTGAAGTCTCTTGAGGTCAACTGATTGTTGCACTGTTTCACCACCTGGATTGCTCATTTTGTTCATAAATGGGTTTCGGCACCAAAAATGTTAGTGTTCTAGCTGTATTTTGCTTTATTTTAATATTTTAAATTTTATGAAATAAAAGACTTGTTGACAACTAGAAAAAGAATAAGTTTTTATTTTTTATTAAATTCAAATTATTATAAATACCAAAAATTTTTCATGTGTTAACATAAATTAAGAATACGAGATAGCTCCCTATGTGAGCGTGGACGAAGGAACTATACAGCACATACTACTTGAATGGCCCAATATATTATTTCCTCTGTATGATATTCTCCCCAAAAATATTTGTCGCCCTGTTAACGTTAAATATCTATTAACTTTGGTCCTTTCTCCTTTAGTATATGTTCTAGAAAAATTTCTGTCCAAAAATAATATAAAACTATAATATGTTACTTTAACATTTAACTATCATATACCATTCTTCCTGAAAAATTCCTGGCATAGACACTCAACGAGCACCTACAAGGAAATCTTATCGCAACACATAAAATTCCAGTGTCTCTTCCAACCTTGACGTTGGCAAAATCGTCGGAGCCCCGATGGAGCTTATACCATTAAAAAAAAATTATTAAACATTATTGTAACTGTAGAACAGGTGGTGACTGCGGCTCCTGTGTCTAATTCCCATATACGTCTCTCTTTGCTATGTAATTGTAATGTAATTTTAGACTTTTCATCCTTTTCGCTGTTTTCTATTTCGCTGTTTGTTATGTATTTCATAAATTTCATCTTGACTTGAATATTCTTTATCTTCAATTGTTATAATTTGTTTTTGCGACTTAATGCAAACCGATTGGATGTGTCCTTTTCGGTTGCACTTTTTACAATATAATTTATTCTTCAAATAACATTTATTTGCCTTGTGGTTTGATTTTCCACATCTATAACAGCTGCCTTTCTTATCTGTATTTTTGTAAATTTTTGGTATTGGTTTTTGTGAAATTTTATTAATATTGAGCATATGTACATCTGGCCCCATTTGTTGGGTTTCACTTTTGGATGTTTCAGTTGCCATTACAATCCTTAATATTTCATCAAATAATGTTTGTGATGATTCTTGTATCACCTTGAATACACTTTAATTTCTGAACTGCGAAGACGTATGAATTGTATACGTGTGTGTATCAAATGTTGTAGATTTACATGATTTGCAGATAAAATTACATTTTTCTCCTATTTCCTTTAGTCCCGCTACGTAGTTAGCGATAGATTCATTTTAATTTTGAATCCTTAAACAGAATTTGTGTTGTTGAGCAACTTCTCCTGGTTCTGGCGCAATATGGTTCTTTAATATCTCAACAAGTTGTTCATATGTTTTATTTTACAGTGTACCTGGAGCAGTAATATTTTTGAGGACTTGGTAATATTTAGCACCAATACAATTTAAGAAAATTTGCAACTTTGTAACAGGGCTTGTAATCCCTTTAAGATTAATATAATTATTCAATCTTTGTATGTATGATCCAAAAGATTCGTGGAGTTCGTCATAAGGTTGCAAAACAATACCACTTACTGTGTTATTACTTGTAGTTTGCTGTTGCTGCATATACATGGTTTGCATTTGTGCTTGTTGATTCTGCACCGTACGTAGTGAGAGTGTCTCGGCGAGTGACGACATAAGTTGCGTAAATTGTGTTTCCATTGTAATAGATACAGGAATTTGTGAAGCGAGCTATCATCACAGGGAAAGGAGCCCCTGGATTGGAAGGAAGGGTATGTACTCGTATGTAGGAATAATTGGGTTATTAAGAACGTGGCTGTCCCGCCATTTCACTTTAGGTGTACCGATGAATGCTGCTGTACCAGTTAATTATCCCATCCTCGTCGCCAGTCTGTTGTGTTTGGTGGGTTCTTATATTGTATGTAATATTTAATAAGAAGAATGTAATTCTATTTACTTTTTATTATTACTAACAACAGAATCATTGGACGTAATTAATTTGTAAAAAACAAGTGACAGCAGACCGCTCAAAAGTCTGACATAGGTCATTTGACACTTCAGTGTTGAGGTGCTGATAGAACTGGGTGTGTTCCGAGCGTACGTAACACAACCGAATTTGAAGCTATAAGCAAAAAAGTGCCTGAGGATTTAAAAGAACTTTTGAATGATTGCAAATACATCACCCCTTTGTATAAATTTGTTGTAAATACAGTGGAAAAGTTGTAGTGTGAAGCGATGTGTATTTCTGTAATTTGTGGTGAAGTGACTGAATGCATTTAAAAATATGAGATCTTGGCTAATAAGGACAAATTTACAGAGCCGTAAAACATCTTATTAATAAAAAATGCAAAAAAAAAAGATGTGAGACCTAGGCAGCTATGTTTTTGGTTGTTGATTGTTATAAAATAAACTGTTCTAATCTGATTGCTGGGCGTTTCATTGCAAAATATTATTCATATTAGACATTGCTGTTACACTAAATAGCGACGGCCGTGGCTGTTTAAAAACATGGCAGCAATGGTCTAAGATTTGTTTTTACCTCCCTTTATAGTACATAAGTAAGCATGTGTAGAGTATTATGCATTTCTAATAGGTATTTATTTTCATACTAATATTTTATAGTACTGGAAAGATAAGAAGGCTGCAACAAAAAGTAAAGCCAACCTTCTAAGGGTGGCAAGATAAAAAACTGGTGGTGGTGCGGTGGAGGAAATGGCGCTTTCTGATGTCATTATAAATATAATGGGTAGAGGTTTTGCTCACGAGGATCGTGAACTAGAAATTAACCCTTTCCGTGTATATTTTCTTTTTATTTATTGGCTTTTTTTATGATAATAACCATTATTTTATTTTAACCATCATGACCTAATTTATAATTTTTATATAAATTGTACAAAAAAAAATTAAGTAAAATATTTCATTTATAGGAATCCAGTGAACATCATCCTAACAGAAAAGACCTTGAAGAAGCTATTTCTTTGGTGTGTATATTATAGTTTGCAGCATAAATATTACATATTAATTTTTTATAATATCTTTTTTTAATTATATATTTTTATACAGAGTATACCCAGCGCTTCTACAACAGATGTCGGTTCATCTAATAAGTATCTTACAGGTATTAACAGTGGAGCCTGTGACTATATACTAATATATACCTATATTAGCCACAGGAACTGAAGAGTCTACACCTTCTATCAGGGCCGTGCCTGACGGGCGTTCATTGCGTGCACCGCACGCAGGCGGCCGAAATTAAGAGGCGGCCAAATCGTTACAAGTTGTTTACTGGGCAAAAATACAATCGGTTTGTTTTCATTAAGATACGAAGTAAAAACAGTTTCTCTAATCTAATCTATCTAAAAAGAGTTTCTCAGAAATAAGAAATGTATAAAAACTGATTAGGTCGTTGTAGTATTTATATACCTAGTCATGCAGCGAATCCGAATTTTTTCGAACATTGCACGAGCGACGAGCCGAAATAGTTTTTTCAATTGACCGGCGTCGCGTAAGCGGTCTTATTCGTCTTATTAGTCGTATTAGTCTATATACTAGCGAGGATAAATCGTTATTTGTGTCCTGTGTGTGATCCGATATTATTAAAGTCTTTAATTTAACGAATAAAAATAAATTGCTTAATTCCTGAAAACTTTTAGTTGTGTGTTCGTGTGGTGAAATTTAATAAAAAGTTTATTTACTCGACAAAGACTGAAAAAGGTAATACACAAAAAATGTAAAATTTGGGTAGACTTTCACTTTTTGGGCCCGGGAAATTTTGGCGGGTCTTTTTGGAGGGAAAAGGCCTTTTGATATGAAATTCTTAAATAAATATTAAAAAATATTTAATAATATTAAAAAAAATTAAAAAAAAATTAAATAATAATTAAAATAAATAATAAAATAGCGTAATTTAATATTAAATTACTTAAAATCTATAATTAATGTATATTTTAATTATATTAAATATAATGTATATTAAATATTTTTTAATATTTATTTAAGAATTTCATATCAAAAGGCCTTTTCCCTCCAAAAAGACCCGCCAAAATTTCCCGGGCCCAAAATTGAAAGTCTACCCTAAAATTTAATATCACTGCTCATTTACATTTTTAAAGGCCTACGAATGTCTGAAAGGAAAACGAAAAGATTGCCTGGAGCGCAATATAAAAGAAAGCGAGAGGAAAAGCAAAATGAAGCTAAAAAAATGTTTGGCTCATTAACAAAGTTTTTAGTAAAATCGCCAGAACCGGAAAGTAGTTGTAGTAGCCAATTAAATCCAATTGATGATTTGTTTTGCGATAAAAATGAAAATGAATTATCTGTCGAAAATGAAAAGGCTAATGACAATACTAGTAGTACCGACGAAATGGAAACAGAAGATAATAAGGATATCGATCTATACAATACCGATACCGCTGAAATTGATAAAGCATATTTTGCTATGTATATGGATTTAAATGATCCAGCTTGCTGGCCTTTAACAATTACCACTAAAATATTGGATATATTAATCGAAAAAGGACCCATACAAAATAAACAATCTACATATCCATTTAATGAATTGGGAAGATCATTTTCATCAACTTATTTCTATAGAAAAATGCCAAATGGTGAAAAATTTAATCGTGAGTGGTTAATCTATTCTCCAAAAACGGATTCCATATTTTGCTTCTGTTGTAAATTATTTGGCAAACAAGAAATAAAATTAGTTAATGAAGGCTTCAATGATTGGCAACACACATCTGATAATTTATCTCGTCATGAAAAAACATCGCTGCATATCGGAAATTGCACCAATTGGAAAAATTTGGAATTAAATTTAAAAAACAAAGCTACAATTGATAAAAATTTGCAACGGTATTATGACGCAGAGAAAAAACGATGGTATCAAATTGTCGTACGCATGATATCTGTGGTACAATTTCTGGCAGTACAGGGTTTAGCGTTTAGAGGTAGCTCGAGCAGATTGTATGAAAACAATAATGGAAATTTTCTAAAAGCAATTGAAATGATAGGAAAATTTGATGATGTTATGGCAGATCACATAAATCGCATTCAACAATCAGTTGCTTTAAAGAACCATATGCCACATTATGCGGGAAATCGCTTCCAAAATGAAATAATTAGTATCCTTGCAGCGCAAATTCAAAAATATTTTTTGTCAGCAATAAAAGACGCCAAATATTTTTCAGTAATTTTGGATTGTACGCCGGACATGGGACATGTCGAGCAAATTACAATAATTTTGAGATATGTGCATATTCAAAATGACGAAGTAGAAGTGAGAGAAAATTTCGTTGGTTTTTCTCCAGCTCAAAAAAGTACTGGAGAAGCTTTTTACGACTTTTTAATTGAAAAATTAAGCTCTCTTAAATTAAATGTTAACGATATGAAAGGCCAGGGGTATGATAATGGATCAAATATGGCTGGAAAACATATTGGATTGCAGAAACGAATTTTGGACAATTATCCACGAGCTTTGTTTATGCCATGCAACGCGCATACATTAAATTTGGTCGTCAATGATGCAGCGAAAGTTTCTTTTTCAACTGTGGATTTTTTTAGTAATGTGTCAGCAATATACAATTACTTTTCCGGATCACCTTTTCGATGGCAAATTTTAAAAAAACATGTAAAATCGTTAACAGTAAAACAAGTTAGCGTAACCCGGTGGGAATCAAGGATTAAGGCGATTAGACCACTGCGTCATGAATTAGGTGAAATTTATGACAGCCTAATAGAACTAGCGGAAGAATGTTCAACACCAATAGGTCAACATGAAGCTAAATGTTTGGCAATGAAAATTAAATCGTACAAATTTATTTGTTCCACAGTAATATGGTACGAAATCTTAGAAAAAGTAAATATTATTAGTAAAATGATGCAGACCGTTTCTTGGAATCTTACTTCATGTGCTGAATCTATTAATAATATTTTAATTTTTTTCCAAAGTATTAGAAATGATGAAAATTTCGAAAAGTATTTGAAAATTGCTGATGAATTATGTGAATCACTTGAAATACAACCGGAATTTCCTGTTGAAATTTATCTACGTCGACGCCATAAGCGAAAACAATTTGACTATGAAGGAGATGAGGATATTCAGTTAACTGCTAAAGAAAATTTCAAAATTAATTTTTTCTATGTAATATTGGATACAGCCATTTCATCTGTTACTACCCGATTTGAAACATTATCCAATTTCGAACAGTCTTTCGGATTTTTATATAAATTTGTTGAAATAGGAGAGGACGACATAAAAAAAAGTTGCTTCGACTTTCATAATAAATTCAAGGATGGCGAATCGTGCGACATAAACGGAGCAGAATTATACGAAGAGTTAATTTCATTGAAAATAATTATAAAAGATAGGAAACAACCCGAAGAACTCCTAAAGTATTTGTACAAACACAATTTACAAAATTCATTTCCAAATGTATCTACAAGCTTAAAACTATTATTGACCATGCCTGTATCAGTTGCGTCTGGAGAACGTAGTTTTTCTAAATTGAAAATCATAAAAAATTACCTACGTACTTCCATGACGCAAGAACGTATGAGCAATCTTTCAATTATCGCGATTGAAAGTGAAATTGCTGAATCTTTAAATATTCACGAAGCAATTGACGATTTTGTCAGTAAAAAATCCCGTAGGATTAACTTTTAATATGTACTTTATTTAATAATTGCTTCGTGAAGATTCAGCAATTTCACTTTCAATCGCGATAATTGAAAGATTGAAAGATTTCCCTAATTAACCGGTAACCTAACCGAAATAATTTTATGAAACCGGTTAATTAACCAAAAACCTTTACTATTTTCAATATCAATAAATAATACGTAAGATTTGATTTTTTAAAATCAAATAATTTTAAATTGTCACTGAGCGACACCTAGGATTTTAAATTATCGTATTCCTATGTTCTTTATGTTTGATAATTTTGTCTGTGATTATAATACCAATACCATAATTACTTTTTTTCATGTTATTATTAAAGTAAGTAAATTAATTCTATTTTGTATACCTCCCAAGTTGCAAGTCAGCCCAGATCTGCCATTGGCCACTGAGCTTTGTTATCCTAATATGTTAGTATAGATTTAAGGGTTATTCCTTGTTCTTTATGTTTGATAATTTTGTCTGTGATTATAAAACCAATACCATAATTTTTTTCATGTTATTATTTTTGTTTAAATTTTAAATAAAAAAAAGTTTATTTTGTGCATTTTTTTTTCTTAAATTTCATCCAAACATATAAATCTCATAAAACCGGTTTTTAGCCGGTTTTTCTTTTCAGAAACCGGTTTTGGGAACAAAACCAATATTTTTTTTCGTTCTCGATTTCGGTTAACCAAAAACTGATTTTTTTCCCGGTTTGATGCCCTGTGTATAATAATAAACATTAAAAATTAAAGTAGTTTTTTTTAATGTTATCCTGGGGGCGGCCATACAGACTGGCACGCAGGCGGCCATATACCCAGGCACGGCCCTGCCTTCTATATAACTATGTATATGTAGCAAAAATTTTCTAATTACATATTGCATGTAATGTAACACATATCTATTGTCTGCAGGATCCACAGCCAGGACCATCATGGCGGAGAGATATTCTGGGAGTATTCCCCGATACCCTGCAGACCAACAGATGGTAAAACTGCATTTAAAAATGTATTAGGTATTAGATCCGCCAGGAATATTTACAAGGTATAGATGCATTTACATTATTATTATCTAAGATGCCAACTGTACTTGTATCTAAGTGGTCAGATTATAGTTACACATTATTACTAGAAAGAAAGAAATCTAGATTAGAATTATTGTCCGATTTTCTAACTCAAGAAGCAGTAAAGATTTCCACAACATCTAACTTATGTTTAGTTGATGCACGCAGCAATAAATATAAAAATTATGATAATAATATAAATAGCAGATCACATTCAGTTTTAGTACTGAATGATAAGTGTCAATACTGTCGTATTTCAAGACACGATTTAACAAAATGTACGCAGTTTAAAAAAGCGCTGAGAAAAGATAGATGGCGATACATTAAGCGTAACAATCTTTGTTACAAGTGTTTATCGTCAAGTCATAAGCGGGAAACATGTCCGGCGCCCGCCTGCGATAAGGATGGCTGCGGCGGAGCGCACCACCGGCTTCTGCACTACCCTGTACCTACCGGGCGAGGGACTAACAATGTCACCGCCGACCAAGTGAACGTCTGTCCACCCGCAAGTGAAACTGTGACCCATATTAACGTAAATAACCAACAAGTGTTATTAAAAGTAGTGCCGGTAAAAATTCGTGGACCAAACGGTGTTATTAATACCACCGCCTTACTTGACGATGGTTCAACCGTGTCGCTCATAACTGCCGATCTCGCTAACCGCGCGGGACTGAGCGGGCCCCGCGACACATTACGTATGTGTGGCGCATGGAATAATTCTGTAAATTTATGTAACACTACTGTTGTAACCTTTGATATTTTCTCTGTAAATTCACATGAGAATAATGATGTGTATACTGTAAAAGCTCGTACCATAAATAATTTAGATTTGCCTATACAAGATTTATCTACTGCTAATTATAACTTGTTTAAAAATTTACGTAAAATTAAAAATAAATTGTATGTAAAAAAATTGAAACCTGAAATACTATTGGAGCAGGATAATTATCATTTGTTAATTCCTTTGCAAACTAGTTTAGGTAATAAGAATGAACCTGTCGCTACACGCACTCCCTTAGGTTAGTGTATACACGGTTGTTTAGGTATACCGGAACATAAACGCTCGTCCCACTCGACCCTCCTTATCTCTGAGTTACGCAGTTAACCAGTCGACGAGAGCGAGCGCATGTTACGGGACATCCATGAGGAGATGCGACGGTCATTCACCATCGAGTCCATGGGAGTGTCAGGTAAGCCACGGGAGAATGCTGATGATATCCGTGCTCTGACAGTGATGGAGCAAACTGCTACACTCATCAACGGCAGGTGACACGTTGGGCTACCATGGAAAGATAAAAGCTGCAGGATGCCAAATAGCTTCCCTAACGCTGTACGCAGATTAAAAGGTGTAAAAAAAAAAGCTGAAAGCTGTGGTTCAGCAGGTGTTTCCAGGAAGGGATGGTCGAGTTAGGGTCATAGAATTAAAAACTAAGTCTGGCATTTTGAAACGGCCGGTGACGCGTGTCTCTCGTATTTCGATGGATAATGAGTGCTGAGCCAGGCTCAACACTAGGGTGGGGTGTGTAAGCGACGCGTTCTGTGTGTTCCTCAAAACTCAATAGTTTGTCTATGTCATTGTCTATGCTTGCGGTCGTTTAAACTTATAATCGGCGCAACGGACGCCACGCCCAGTCTGCACCTAGATACGATTGACACCACATGTCTATTTATTATCTGTAAATAACGATATTAAAAACGTAAAATAATATCCAATTGTTAAAGTCTTCGTTTTCTTGCCATCATTCGTGACCTACCATATTCCATACCATACAAGTCTGTTAAATTTAGTTCTTTTTTATTTATTTTTAGTATGACAATAGACCTGCACCACCGCCAACACTTTCATCACCGCCACCATCACCACATGGAATTGAGAACCATGTGACTAGTGTAGCGCAGCAACCAAAAGATAGAGAAGATCCAAAGTGTTTCAAATTATACCATGAAAAGGAATCAATTGCAAGATATTTAATAGGTTCAACAGTAGGCAGAGAGCCAAAACAGCACATTTTAATCTGCAAAAGTGCGAAAGAAATGTGGGATACTTTCATGCTGTGTATGAACAGAATGAAAGAAGACTGGATCTCTTGTACTGCGAGCTATTTATTTATAAAAAGGCATCAGAGGACAGTATAGCTACGCATGTCTCTAAATTACAAAGAGAACTTGATAATAGATTCTGGTGCGTCACACCATATTACATCACACAGAGAGTATTTTGCTTCATACGAACAATTTGATAACCCAGTTCCAGTTCATCTCGGAGATGGTAATCAAATGATGGCTGTTGGATTTACCATCGTAGACATAAAAATGTTGGTTAATGGAAAATGGGAGAAAGGTAATTTAAAAGATGCTTGGTTTGTTCCTACTTGTAAACAGAATTTATTCTCTTCAGGGTCAGCTTTAAAAAATAATTTAATTGAAATAGGTGATAAAAATAAAAGAATATTTAAAAATGGCAATAACATAAAAGCAGTTGTAATGAGAAATAAGGAAAATATGTATAGAATGAGGGTGATATTACCTAAAAATTATTGTATGCTTAGTAGTCAAAAGGCAGACTTAAATATCTGGCATGAACGCCTATGTCACCAGAATTTTAGACATGTTGAAAAGTTCTTAAAACTAAATAATATTCCATTCCAGCCGGCAAATAAAGTTGTTTGTGATGGGTGCATGTTTGGTAAATACACTTAAATTTTAAATCACTAAAATTTAAGTGTGTCATTCTTTGATGCCTTAATAAAAAAAATCTGTCTCATTATGATTTGCAGGTGTATGCAGAAATACCTACTGTCTGTATTTAGCCAGTATATATTGTCAATGAGATTCGCAGTTGCAACTTCGGTATTCTATTTTGCAGCCATATTTAGTCAACTGTATTGAGCATCCATTATTGATCATCTGACTAATAAAAAGGAGATTACTTACCAATTCTGGTACATAGAGAACATTTTTTACTTGAATTGTACGTTTATTACCATCTTTTCCAATGATATTTAGATTTAACTAGAGATGGGCAATCCACCTGGGTGGGTTTAAAGTCTGGTGGGTAAAAACCGGGTGTTTTGGGTTTATTGGGTTTAAACCCCATAAACACCCAAATTTTTGGGTGTTTATGATTTTGTACTTCATCATCGTCATCTCAGCCGCAAGACGTCCACTATACTGGACATAGACAATATTATTATGCAGCCTACAGAATAAAAAACTTTTAATTTGATTTTGAGTTTATTAAGAAAGAGATGAAAGTAAAATGTAAAACTACAGTCAATCACTGTCAGATTCAGAGTTATTACAAGCGATGAATTGTATAGGTTCGATAGGCTCTATTTCGTCTAAACTGTTATGTTCATTTACTTGCTCAATGAAAGCTTCTAAGGTATTTTCTTCATTAAACTGAATGTCCTCGCATTCAGCTTTATGTTTAAGATTCCAGTTATAACAAATGAATGAAATTTTTTCAGTTCTTTCAGTTGTAAGTCGATTTCTTTTGTTATTATGTATGTAGCCTTGGATACTAAAGGAACGCTCAGTGGCTGCCGAAGTACAGGGAGCTGATAGAATACGAATCGCTACTTTGCTTAACTCAGTGGAACCACAAATACCTTTCCACCATATTAGGGGCTCAATGCTATCTAATGAGCTCCATACAAATCCTCTGGCCCAAAAGTTTTCTTTAGCTTTATAACACGCCAAATCTGCCATTACATTTGACAAACTTAAGTGTTGGCTTAAATTGTAGATAAACTCCATACCCTTAAGTTCTTCCTCTTGAGTAAGTTCGACTCCTAGAGTCCTGGGGTCTAGAATATATGCTGCAAAATGTATTGGCCTCATTGCCATATTGCATCTTGAAGATACTGATGTTAGAATCTGCTGTTTGCTTTCTTCGCTCAATGTCGAAATCTCATTTAATGCAAAACGTATCTTAGCTTGTACATCTCTAAATGTAATGTATGTGCGATGCAAACGATTCTGGTCGCTCTCTAAGTAAAATATGCTTTCAGTGACTGGTTCCAAAATACTTATACATTCCCCTGTCTTCGTCCAGAAATCATCACTTAGAATTAAATCTTTAATATCTCTTGAAATTACCACATCTTCTCTAACTGTTAATATTTGCAAAGCTATCTTATTTGCTTTCAAACTTTTTAACGAAGTAACATGACTTCCCCATCTTGTAGCACAAGGCAATTTTAGTGTTTGTGTAGAATCTTCACCCTGCCTTGATTTTATCAACAAGGAACTTAATCGTTGACTCCTTTTAACAGTTTTTATTATATTTATGGCTTGCATAATAAACACAGTTACTTCTTGTATCTTTACAATATCTTGGCACAACAAGTTAAGGATATGTGCACAGCAACCGAGAGGAACAACATGTGGATATTTGAGTTTTGTTAATTCGAATGCCTTTTGTATATTTCTAGCGTTATCGCCAATAAGTACAAGAAACTTATTTGCTCCATACACTTTCATTACTTTTTCAACTTCTTGGCTAAGGTATTCACTAGTGTGAGGATTACTTTCTGTATTCAAACTTTTAACGTATGCAGGTTGAGGTTTTGATATAAGAAAGTTTATTATTCCTTCATTTCTTAAATTAGACCAGCCATCGCACTGAAGGTGTAAGTAACTACAAGCATTTAGTTCCTCATTTAATTCAAAACGCATTTCTCTATATATTTTATCTAAGTATTTTGTCGCTAAAGCTTTACGTGAAGGTATTTTAAATTTTGGTTGCAATTTTTCGAAAAATTGTATCCATAAAGGATGTTGCACCATCGATAATGGCGTCCCTGTTACAAATATAGCTCTCGCTAATTCTGTTTTTATATGATCATCGGTGTCTTGAAACTCAGCATTTATTGTAGTGTTAGCAGACGACGAGGGGCTTATAAAAGAATCATTTGTCTCTATCTCTGACAGTCCAGACATTTTGGTTTTGGACGAGCTATCTTTTATAAGTTTCATAGAGTCTTTTAATGTTTCTGGAGATTTTGGACAAGTGATAAGATGTTGAAGCATTTTGGCAGCATTACTGAATTTGTAGACCTTATTACAAAGCTTGCAAGAAACAGACTTGTTTGGTAAAGTACGGTAGTGCTCCCATATGCGTAAATCTTTAGGTCTCCCCATTGAACCTAAAAAAATGAACGATGATTAGTTGGTCTGACGAAAATTCAACAATAGAGTGCCTATTTTTTTACAATGATTATTTCTTGTTATTTACAATAAATTTATTAAAAAAATAATAAAATAAATACAAAAAACCTTTGTAAAATTACATCTCCTCGGAGGATTAAACGCAGACGCTAGTTTATTATCGTATTGTTCTGTATTTTTCTCAGCAACTTCTTTAATTCGATTAGGTACTTACGCATATTATGTTAAAAATAAATATCTAGTACACATCTTAGGCTATCCACCATTATTATCCAATGACGACTCTCAGCTAACTATGCACTATCATCCAAAATAAACGTGTATGGAAAATTTTATCCCAGTCGGTTGAGGATTGAGGATAATTGCATCAACATACGAACATACCTACATACTTTTATTTACATAACGCAAGCTAAATAAAAGCTTGTAATAATACATCTAATTTTAAGTTAAAATTGTTAAGTGATCATGATATAATTGTATCATTCAAAAATCCACTTACCTTTAATTATTTCTTGTTAAGTATAAATATTATTTCAAATCTGCTCCCTTAATATGCACTTTTTTACTGCTTTTCCTACCTAACACGTTACCAGGAAGTCACGTTACCAGAGTCAGAGTAATAGTGAACACGTTTGACAGTGATTGTCGTCGCCTCATATTCAGCGTCGACGAATAGGGGAATCCCCAGTCATAATGTATTGCATGCGTGGCGGTCTTACTTCAAATCCATAAACAAAGAGATAATTACAGAACTCGATACTAGATGGCGCTGTTTTTGTTTGAAGAAAGTTTGCGGGCTAAAATACATAGAATTTCATCAATGACTTCCACAAAGAACAACATTTCTGTTTTTTCTAAGTCCGTATCTCTTCCGTATATTTCATAAGATATAAGCTTGGGCTACATTGTTATGCAACGTGATTTTGTCGCTGTCTTGCTAGCAGGGTTGACAGATATACGATTTAAATCGTACTCATTCTATTATTTGTCTATTTTTTAATGTACGATCGTAAAGATTATGATCGTAATTCGCACAAAAACATACGACTTTTTGGTTACCTGGCAACATTTTTATTATGAAACGAACATGCTCACATCATCAGTCACATGCAACAATTTATTGGGGATTTCCCCTTCACATCTGGCAGTCCTGCTTGCTAGAATATAGGTAAGTCAGCCACAGTTACTGACGATCGATATTTAAAGGGTATTGTTTTTGTGCTAAATATTTCATAAAAACGTTATTTAATACTTTGTGGATTATTAATTTAGTTGATAATCACTGGAAGTAAAATGGATGCTAATTTGAGAGATCAAGATCTTCGTATAAAACAGTTAATAAAAGAAAATCTACGTAAGTACTCTTTTTATACCTAGGTAGGTAAGGTATAATAAACACAAAAGGTACTTAGATCGCGTGTGTTCGAAGCATTTATTCTAATAAATTTAATTTAAAATTGTAGAAAGAAAAAATGTCTGCCAAGCCGTAGCCGAAGCCGATCTCCAAATATATTTGGCGATAGTGAGACCCAGTGTCCAGATGATTTACCCAGCGTCGTCGCAACAAAGAAAAAAAACGAGGATAAAGTAAAAGAAAATTTACTGAAAGAAGAAACAAACTGTTCTAAATGCTTAATTTATGGAGAAGAGGATAAAAGAAATGAGTATTTCGGACTGTTAGTGGCTCAAGAATTTAAATATATACGGCCATGTGTGCGAACGAGGTGTTATGAAGAAATTTTAAAGTATCTACGGGAAGCAAAAGGCCAACATGTTGATCAACTGCAACATGAAAACACTGAAAATTAATTACTTTCATTTTATTATATATAGATTTTTAAAATTTCCTGAAATATTATTAGTTAACGTTTTATTTAATATTGTAGAATTGATCAATACAATTTATAAAAATAATTTATTGGTATTACTTACATATTTTCAAAAAAATACGTAAAAACCTATTTTTTTGGGTGATTATGGGAGTTTATGGGTGTTTATTGGGTTTTTACCAAAGCACCGGGTTTAAACCCGGTGCTTTGCCCATCTGTAGATTTAACTTGCTACAACTTTTAACCAGGAGCTTTTTGACATTAGTTATTTTATTGCTCGAGATCGGAGGTGGTATTTCATTATAAATCTAGTCATGCCTCAGTCATATGTATGGACGCTCCTGAATCGATATACTATCCATTGTTATTTTTTGTTGTGGCTGAGAACACAGCTACATATCCAGAATCTCTATTAGTATTTTGTTCCTTTTACTTTAATTTGCAGTATATACTTATATGCCCATATCTGTTGCAATTAAAACATCTAGGACCTTTACTAGGTTTATATGGCTTCTCATTGTTTTGTCTTCCTGTGTTACCATAATTTTTATTTACATATAACGTAGTAGACTCGAAGCTTTTTATTTCTTTCCGAAGCTTAGTCTTTACAGAATCTGCTGATATTGGCACACCACAACTTTCTAATGCCATAATCATTGGCATATAGTTATCTGGCAACCCAGCCAAGAGTAGAGTACAAAACCACACATCATCGGAATCTACAATGCAATTCCATAATTCTTGATGCTGTAGATAGGATTACACAGCAAATCTCCACATGTTTTAATTTTCTCTTCCAAAAAATTTTCAATTAGAGTCATTGTGTTACTCGTAGACGTCTTTTTTTATTTTGGTTGAATTATTATTTGTATTACCAGTACGGTACTGAAACACGTGGCGTTGAAGTTATGTCTATTCCGACAATTCTGCCACGTAACAATAAATTTTTTACTAGTTTAAGTAGTTTATACATTAAATATAACAAATACCGAGGTCCATAATCTGTTATTTTATTTAAACTATTTTATTATTTAGAGTTAAATTCAGAAAACAGCAGAAAACCATTTTATTTTAAAGTGAACAATACAGATTAGAGAGAATATGTCAAAAGTCTCAACCAACTATCAATCTATAATAAACGTCAAAACAAAATAGAAGGCGGCAAATTTAAACATTACAACAGTTACAAATGATGGTGAAAATCCATTCTCACCAAAAATTATTGCATATACGGGAAGATGCATATCTTTCGGAAACCGTTAACAATATTTATACTAGTGTAAGCAAACGGTGATGAATCAGTAACTATTTTTGGTATATCAGAAATAGTAAGGGTTTTCCCCGGGTTGTTTCGTAGCCATGCATCTTGAGCAGTATCGCAATACTTTTTGAACAGTCCAAAGACTGGCACATTTAACGGTTGTAATTTATAGCTACAATGCGGTGGAAAGGATAGCATTACAACTCAATTCTCTATGGCTAAAGTTAGTGTCTTCACGTTCAAGCGAGAGGAGTGATTATCCAACACTAACAAAACAGGGTACTCCATGGACGGTTTCACATATTTTATAAAATATTGCATAAATTGATATAATTCTTCTGCTGTAACCCATCCACTGGCATTCTGTGCTTCTATACTATGTTTTCTCGGAAATACAAACATAGGAGGTACTACTGTAACGTTAGTCTCTCGTTCCCCAGAAGTCATTGCGCCGACGTTGCGCTTACCTTTGGCAGCTACAATTTTATATGGCTTCAGCACAGTAGATACTCCTGTCTCATCTATAATCCAAATGTCTGTTGCAGTAAATCCATATCTATCCATTACTTCTGCTGATTTCTAAAAAAAAACTTTAACATTCTGCGAATTAAATAATGTTAACCTACCTAGGCTGGTGGGTTCTGGTTTTTGTATGGATTGTTGAAAACACTAAATTTAATATTATAATATGGCAACTTTGAAATTGCCCTCTCTTTCGTTACAACAAATGTTTAATGTACAAGTATGTGTATGTGTAGATATAATTAAGTTTTGGCGTAGTTGTGAACAAATATGGCAACATTTCTGGCGAGCCTGGTCTAAGGATTATTTGTTAAATTTACAAAAACGTTACAAGTGGCAATCTGTCACTGACAATATACGTGAAGGTATGGTGGTACTATTAGTTGTGCCTAATGCTCCACCACTTCATTGGCTCTTAGGGATAATTACAAGGGTTTTTTCAGGATCGGACTCCAAAGTCCGCACTGTTGAAGTGAGGACCCCTAACCGAAAGACTCATATAAGGGCCATATCTAAAATAGTAATATTACCTATAGTTTTTTTTTTTTTTCAGAAGGCTGGCCTATACTTTGGTCAACGCATCTCCATTGCTATTCAGCGTGGAAATGCAGCAAGTATCCTAGGCACCCTACCAGCTAGCAGTGATCTCAAAGAAATTTGTTATCTTTAAATATATAACTATTTTTTTTATTTTTTAATTACTTATTTCTAATTATATATCTAGATTAACTATCTCTTCTATTTAGATATTTATAGTTTATGGTTACTAAGATATAGTATTTATGATGTACATATATAATAATTCATTAAAATAAATATATTGTAAAATTAAAAGGTGGTTTGCAATATAGAAGTACAAATTCCAACATCTTTGTGGTCCTTCGAAGAGAAAAGCAAGTTTCCAGCACGAGCGGCGAGGTGAAATTACAAAAATAATGTCCAAGAATCGAGAAGAGACGCCATTATTAGCAAGTCGCAATCATCCTGGTATATAATAATATATATTCGGCTAGTGACAAGGTGCTTCAATACCTATTCAAGAAAGAAAAATTCACATCGGACTATGTAAATATGGCAAAAAAAAATTTTACGAACCATCCACAAAATTTGTCAAATTATCGTAAGACAAAATATCACGAACTTTTGCTGTAAAAGAACTGTGTGAGCGAGATCGACGCAAGAAACCACCAAGAAACGAAAATTCGTCGTAAGAGTGAACAAGATACAACTACTGCGCGTGGAACGCAGCGCTACGATATTTTGACGGCTACAAAACAAAACAAGATTCGCGCTAACGCAAACCATAAGTTCACCAAGAAAGAAGCGACGCCATATTTTTTCTTTTAAGCAATGCCCGCCCAGAACAAGTCTAGCAAAGAAAAAAACGTTCCCAATACAAAACCCAAAGGGAACAAATCGGCGGCCCCTAAATTTCGTCCTCCACGGACAGCAGCTGTTGTTGTCACGATGCAGCCGGAAGCAGTAGAGAAGGGATTCAGTTATGCCTTTGTGCTTGCGGAGGTTAAAAGGCAAATCAATCCCGAAGATATGGGTATTTCCGATGTTCGGTTTAGGCATGCTGCCACGGGGGCTCGTATGCTCGAAGTTCCTGGAACCGCTAGAGATACCAAGGCGGACACCCTGGCTGCAAAGGTGAAGGAAATCTTCCCGGAGAGCGTAATCAAAATCTCCAGGACTGTAAAATCGGCGGACATTCGAGTCTTAGGCCTCGACGATTCGACTACACCGACAGAGGTTATTGCCGCCGTGTCGCAGAATGGGGACTGTTCAGAGATGTCTGTGAAATGTAGTGGCATCCGCCAAACCCTTTCGGGCGCTGGCACGGCGTGGGTTACCTGCCCGGTAGCGGCAACGAAGAAGATCAGTAAAGAAGGCAGAATCAAGATTGGTTGGGTCTCGGCTCATGTTAAAATTCTTGAGCCCAGAAAGCAGAGATGTTTCCGCTGCCTTCACGAGGGGCACGTAGGGCTTCAATGTCCGTCCACAACCGACCGCAGCAGCCTGTGCTATAAATGCGGGCAACCGGGGCATATTGCGAAAACTTGTTCAGGCGAATATTAACCACGCCGTCAGAGCTCAATACTTGCTCGTACAGACGATGGCGGAGTGGTCGATCGTGCTCGCAGCCATCTCGGAGCCCTACTCTGTCCCTTTCAAAATGAAAGCCGTTCAAAATGGTTTAATGAAATTAAAAGAGGCTGCCTAAAATTACAATATTCCGATGAGCACTTTGAGTAGGAAATCTAGAAACAAAAATTGCACGAAAGAAAAAGCGGGGCCCAACTCTATGTTCAATAGAGAAAGAGAAGACTTTTGTAGAATATATACATAAATAAAATGGGAAAAACCGTATATAGCCTCCAAGATTTTACGTGACTTGTAAAGTGAACGGTGACCGAAAATGATACCCGACAAATTAACGTTGGTCTACAAGGAGACTACATAAAAGCTTATGTTATATCATCTTACTTTTGTTGTATTGTAGTGAATGAAAAAAAAAATTGCTGTCATTTTGTCAGTTTTAACTGACAACCACTGTATATCTATATTTGTTGCATTTTGTTAGTTATTGTTGTGTAGTGTCTGCTTTTTCATCATATTTTACAAGAAAATGGCTGAAGATAAACGGAAACAGTCCAAATTGGCTACAATCGGAGAGTTATTGTTAAGTTTAGTGGAGGCCCACTATAATATAATCGAAAACAAAAAACTGACAGTAACGATAAAGGCAAAATTGGCGGAATGGAAGATCATTGCTGATGAATACAATAGTCAAACGACTAACAGTTTTCGAACAGGAGGGAATTTAAAGGCTCAGTGGGAGAGTATAAAAAAGGTGGCAAGAAAAGATGTAGCAAATAACAGGAAGCATATGATACAAACAGGTTAGTACCTACTTATAATAGATATCTTTTAAGCTAGAACTATTTATTAGATATTGACATGACATAAATTTCATCTTTAGACTAAAAATTAAAATTTTATATAATTCTACATGTACTTATTTTCAATAATGTTTTAGGTGGTGGTTCACCGTTGCCTCCCAAAAAGGAAGATCCATATATCAACGGGTTATAAGCCTTTTATCAACAAGTACTGTTGGTTTATATAATCCATTCGATAATGACTCGATAGTTCCTGTTATTCAAGAAGACCAAGAAAACAAGCAGCCAATAACCATAATGGAGATTCAGAATTTATACCAAAAAAAGATACCATCCTCGCGAAAAATGAATTATAGAACCTGTGGTTGTGTGGTTGGGCTCTGACGAAAAAATACCTACGATTCGCTGAAATGTTCGCAAATTGGCTAAAAAGCTTGGAACAAATTAACCATCTCGAACTGCCGCGAAGCTACAACAAGGGGAGCCCAGTACAGAACCGCCAACTGTATGTGTTCTGTAACGCCACCGAAAATACCTACACAACAGCCACTTATTGGTGGTTAGAACAGGAATATGAAGAGGTATGATGTGATCTTGGCGGCAGCAAGATCCAGGGTGGCACCACTCAAAACCCAAACCATCCAACGAATAGAACTCCAGACGGCATTAATAGGAATACGAATGGCACACCACGTACATGATGAACATCGCTGGCATACAGATAGAATCACCTAAGTATTGGACCGACGCGCATATGGTGCTACTATGGATGAAGAATAGAAGCAAACAGTACACTTCTTATGTGGCACACCGGCTAGGAGAAATTTCTGAACTAAATGCCACCATCGCAACACAGATGGGTGTCAACTAAGCAAAACTTAGCAACGAGACCCGGGTATTTACTACAAAATACCAACGACGTGTAGTTTACTGGGCCAGCATTCTTAAGACAATCGGAGGACGGAAGGAGAAGAATGGCCACAAAATATGCCTGACCAGCAAAGTGACGAAAATGAGCAGATCGTCTTACATGTGAGCAACCTACGATCCCTCTACTTACCCGAACTTGATCGTTTTTCTAGCTATGAACGCCTCATTAGAACAACTGCAGGTGTACTGCTCCTCATCCAAAATTGTAAGAGCCAAAAGAAAAATTTAGACGTTGAACACACATCTACACCATATATAAAGTTTAATTGTATGTTTAGACATTTTAAATTCTATGTTAGATTTGCTTCAGATGATTATATACCCAACACTGATGATGACTCAAATGATTCTTCATCTTGTTACAAACGAAAATGCGCAAGCTACAGAAAGGACGGTATAGATGGTAGAAATGAAAAAATAATATCTGAAACAGAATCAGACAATAAAATTACACATAAACTATTATTCTGGGACATGAAAACATATATGAAAACGTACGAAAAGAAAACGAACACCACGTACCTGAACTGTAAACGGTGATCGTCTCGACATTGTAAAAAAGCATATTCTTTCATTTCCCACATATGAAAAAATGACTTGAATGAGCGTGCAAAAACATCAAAAACATTTCCCTCCAGTGATTTAAGTATCACCATAATGTATAAATTGTACATAATTAGTACAGATAATCCAATAAGTAATACTATATCTAAATTGTTATTTCATGCTCAAAATAACTCTTTTAAAGACCTCGGGTAGACACTTGTTTAAAATGCGATACTTTGAACGCTGCATATACGAGTATTTATTTAATAAAAGTGGACAAAAGTCGAAAACACAAAGTTAGTCAAAAATTGCAATAAACCTATTGTTACTCAAACTAAGTAGCCCATCATACGGCGACAAAAAATTCTCCCTTCCGCGCAGGGGAGTTTTGTACGGTCAGTCGGAACTTAGTCATAGTTAAAACGCATGTGTTTGTTCTCGGCATTTCGTTTGCAAGTTTAGTTTGCACTGTTGTTGTGTTTTCGTGTGACACGTTTTTGAAAAAATCTTTTGGATATGGCAGAAGGAGGTATGTACTTTATTTTAAAATATAAATTGGATAACTTACAGTTAGTCCTTTATGTTTATAAATGACAACTTTAAAATAATGATTTAGGTATTTTTTGTAGTTATAATATCAAACAAGTGATTTTGTCTATTCACTGGGCCCCAATTAAACTAAACCCCAAAAACAAAATAAGTATTCAAGTGAAGTTAATTATTAAGTGACCATGAAAATAACGCAATTATTTGGAACCCACATGAGTCTAAATATATACTTATGGTGAAAAAAATCCAAAAGAAATTTGTAAGATGGCTGTACCAAAAACAGTATGGTTTCAAGGTGTCTTATCCCCATATATACCCGAGTATGTTTTTGTTGGGTATGGTGGGCTATAATACACTTGAAGTGAGACGAAAACTAAATTTAATTGAATATGTGGTAAAATTAGTGCGGGGGGAAAAGTGTAACCAAACTGTACTGGAATCAATATCAATAGGAGCGCCCAGTAACTACGTGCGAGCACGTCGACGGCACTTATTCGATGTTCCATTACGAAGAACAGAGTTCGCTAAGCAGGCTCCCCTATCTCTTGCATTGAAACTACTCAATGATGTTTTGAGCCAGTATCCGCAATTGGATGTATTTGCCTCCAACTTGCTGGAGTTTCGTCGGGTGACCACAGAGTATTTGTGTTCAGACGTTTTTGTTTAAGTCTTTTTATATTATTCTTGTTGTATATATGTAATATTCCTTTTTTTTATATGTTGTTGTATTCATGCTTTCCTGGGTGGGCGTATTGGGAGACTGTAAGGCTCACCCAGTGGATGTAATAAATAAATAATTATATGTTATGTCGACCGACCCATATATGGGTGTCATTTTCCGCTTTTCCGAGGGAGACTGTTTTTTTTGTTTTTCCTGAAATACTGAGGCAATAATTAAGAATATTTAAAGAAAAACGCAACTTTCTAAGACAAAAATAGTTTCTGGCTAATCTAGGTTAATATAGCCACTTCAACCGCCAAATCCTTTATTATGACGCTTAATTAATCCGTTTGAGTAAAAACAAAAATAATCGTAGTTCTGTAGTTGTACAGCTCGCTTGTGACAACTTATGTGATAAATTATTTAAAATTTTAATTTTAATAATTTTAATAAATTTCACAAAATATTAGAATTTATTAATCAGTACCAGTATTGCAGAAAACCAAAAAAGACTAAGGCCACTTGTTTTTCCAATGTACATTATGATTTTAACTTACTAATACAATATTAATGAAAGACAAAAAGCAACATGTACAAATTTATAAGAAACATATTACTTTCAAACCAATATCAAGGACAGTCTTCCTAGTAAAAAAGTAACACTGGCATTAGAAAAACTGTGATGTCAAGTACTCATAAGCCTTGTCACTTTCTAAAATCAAAAAAGCGAACTATAGCAACAACAAAGATTAAGAAAGAAACAGCTCTTCTTCATGAGTAAACAATAGATTTTTAAACCGAATCATACAACATAAGGTCACAAAATGTTAAATTTTGTGTCATACTGCTAAACACAGTCTCAAAATCACTCATTGACTAAAATTTGAGAGAACGGAAAACTTTGTGAAGAGAATTTTGTGTTTAAATAATTTTCACCTTGGTTCGGAAAACATAAGACACCTACATCTTAATCGAAGAAAAATCTTACAACCAAACCTAACCTATATAGTCATTTTCAGCTTTGAAATAATTTGTAGCCATTTTTATAGTGTACTCAAGATATGCACCTAACAGATAATTTGTAGTGACTTATAGAAATACCTTCACGAGGTTTTTTTTTCATTTAATACAATACCAACAAAAAAAAAAAAAAACAAAATAGTAAGTTCTTCTCAATTTAATATTGAGAAGAACCAAACATATTTTAAGAACAACAACCAAGACTATAAAATCTACAAACTGAATCAATACATGTATCGACAACTCACTATAACTACGACAATTAGTGACGAAATTTTGATTTTTCTAAAATAAATAACAAATTAATCCATTACCAAAATCTTTTGCAGAACTTATATACAAATTTTAACAAAAGTGTTTGTGATGTGTATGTAATATTTTATCTCGATATAAATTTAAAACTCATGGCGAAGGATAGTTTTTCAGAATTGGTTATATCTGATATTTGTATTCTAAATGCAGCAAAATATTCAATTTATAATTAAAGATTAAAAGGATTACTTTAAAAAAAGAGTATATGTATAACCAAAGGATAAGAGACCGCACTTCATACAAGTAAAATGACTTAGTCAGGAATATTTTACCAATTTACTGGGTACAGAGGAATAACACCTGAGTCCTCAGGAATGGCAACGCATGGGGGGTATCATGGGTGAAACAGTATAGTCTGCTATGTCCATGGTACTGCTCATGTCTATAGGCGACGGTTACCACTTTCCATCAGGTGGACCGTCAGCTTGTTTGTCATTATAAGTTGCATAAAAAAAAAAAAAAAAAAAAAAAAAAAAATCTACACAAAATTCTCCTTTTTCTCGTTATACCAGTCAGCTTGTGTGATGGAAACGAATAAGGTTATAATTGTACTATAATTTGATAGTAGAGACACGAATCATGTAATAAAAGAAATATATAAATTTTATGTCAAATTGCACGTTCCGGTGAACAATTTTTTTAGCAAAATAAAAAAGTAAACATTCGTAAATATATTTATTATTGTATATAATATTACCTTTAGAACTCAATTTTGTAATATTAGTGATAGTGAACACAAGTTTTTAACAGTTCCCGTAATATCTAGTAATTTTCTATTGTAAGCCTCGTGATAGAGTCAATATTAATTATATATAGTCGTAATTCCCACTTAAAAAAAGAAATACGAGATACAAAGCTAAATCTGTTCTAGTAAAAAATAGATTAATAATACCAACCAATTGTATCACATTTGACAGTATTGTTATTAGTTGGACTAAAGGATATTTTTGTTATTGGCATGATATTTCCTGACCAATTCCATCAAAAGCTAGTATGGAAATTAAACAAGACTGAGAGAAACTTGTTTCTAATATTTTCCAATCGCTTCCAAACCACAGATTCACAAACATTATTCTTGTTCTTAGATTATTACGTCTTGCACAGATTACACTATGGGACCAGTTTTTAGATGCCATTTCTCAAATGGCATTTTAATTTGATGTTTAACTAAATTACAGTTTTTGAATCATTATAAACTAAAATTATAATAGTTTATACTTAAATCATTTTTTAATACCACAAAGGTGCCAAACAAGCATAGAGCTCGTTTGATGGTAGAAGATTACTGTAGCCTATGGTGCATACCGCCAGCGTATACCGATAGCGCAGACAGGGTCACCATTCCATTTTCATCCATTAAAAAAAAATTACATATATTATTTATAAATCTGTCTACCTATCCATCCACATACTCACAGAAATCTTTGCTTACAGATACTATCTTTAGTCTATGTATTTAAATGGGTTTAATCTAAGAACAATGAATTACATAGAAGGAGTGATAAAATTGTCAATTCATAGCAGGCTAGTGAAAATGTTATACGACCGTATAACCCTACCAAATTCAGATACAACCTGCTTGCATACTTTCTATATAAACTGTTTCGAATATATAATCTAGTAATGTAAAATTTAACATATCAAGCATTTTCTGCACAGTAGCCTGCTATGAATTGAGAAAAATAGCAACTGATGATGTATCTTTCGTCTTCTTTTTACTAATTTTATTCACATAAGAAGAAAGGAGGCGACCATATAATTTTCAGTTTTTATTTTATCATTTCTTCTATGTAATTCCTTGTTCTTAGGGTTTAATACTAAGATTAAAGAGAAATAATATAGTATAATATAAAATAATATATAATTATAAATCTATGTTTTGTACCTCCACCTCTGTCATAATGTTTATTATAATGTGCTGCTTAAACGATCAACTATAGAAATAATGCCGCAATTACTATCCTTAATCTATGTAGAGGATACTTTTTTTAATGCATGAGAATAAAATGGTAACCTCGTCTGCGCTATCGATACTGATTTGGATACTTATAGTTTAGTTGGGCACTAAGCTGGCCACCAGGGAAAGATACAAATATACATTTATTTATTTGTGAATTATTATAATCTATTCAAGTACACAAGATAGATATTACAATGTTCATGAAGAATAGGGACACGAATCTTCTTTTTTTTTTTAAAGAAACTATTTTCTGTCGTTGATTTTTATACGACAACTTTTTTGCTATTTTAGTGTAGGTCATGAACCTTATTTGGGTGTAGGAAAATATATATAAAATAACAATGGCAAATTATAATTAATTATTTTTATTTTTATTACTTTTGTCCCTTGGACTGACTTCGATCTAATAGAATATATTGTTAGCAATGGGACTATTAGACCAACCCCTTTCTCCATATTACTCATAAAGTATATTACCTGAGGTATTACTCTTCCTTGTTATGTTGACAAAACTTTTTGTGCTATTTTATTAAGGCATCCGTAAACTTGTGTTGTGATCTACCCAAAGAACAAGAACTAATAAACTAACTAACTAAAAAAAAAAAAAAAACTAATATTCTAATATCTTCGACTATACCAACGTAAAATAACAATAGTACCGGCGGGAGAATTCGGTTGGCTTTTTATACAAATTAGACGTAGCAAAACGTACTTCTAGTATAACATAGTGATTACTTGTTGTGGTTTCTCGCTATTCATTCACGCATCAATATAAGACTGTTCGCCGTGGATGTAAAAAATATTCACGCATAAAAAACTACATGAATTTGAACAACGGATATGTACCGCCGTACTTTTTGATAATGGAATGATAACCTCGCCTGTGCTATCAATATATACTAGCGGGGCACCAGTGAGGGATGATTGGTGAGGACGAAAAAGCAGGTTAGTTAGCCCATCATGACTAATTCAACAATAAATTAGTCATGATAGTTTCCAGGGGAAACAGTGTGAAGGGCGACCTGAAAGAGTATATTGATAACAATGGGGACTAATGTCCCCATTACTAGCAATCCTTTCCGTCCTCTCCATACAGTTGCATACATTTTGTTGTCCTAGTATATTGTGACGGTGCATTGTTAAGACGTAAATTACCATATTTACTCTACCCTAATACATAAGGGACGAAATAGGACATAAGCTAGTTATAAAATAAAACACAGATTAACTTTCACACTTTGTCTATCAGTGATTAAGACAATATATCGGATAGTTTATGCTTGAGGTTCAATTGTACTTTTCGAGTTATCTTCAGTTTCCTAGTTTCGTGCTGATCCATCAAAATACTCTCCAACTGCAAATAAATTAAAAACATATAATTTTTATTATGAAAAATTGAAATAGCAGTATGATGATGCCTCTCCTGATCAGGGAGAAGAGATTGTTCAGTAATGGGACCGAATGCCCCCCATTACCAACAGTATACCCTAAAAGATCGACCTTTACGCGGTGTTTTCTGGAAACCATCGTGCTTAATTCCTGAAAACTCGTCACAATGGGTCAACTGCCTGCTTTCTCACTGGTGCCTTGTCAGCGTATACCGATAGTGCAGGCGGGTTTACCATTCCATTTACATTCTATAAAAATATGTTAAGATCACGATGTAATAATCATAATGCAGAAAAAGTTATGCCATAAGTAAAGCAAAAATCCCGCATCTGTTTATTCCTCCATTCCTGTACTTGTCACTTTGATGACACGGTACAAATGTATCAGGCCAAAATAAGGAAATTAAGTACTTGTCTACTTATACCCACTTCTTTATGCAAGGCCCGGATTCTTTGAGCTCTTCTTCAGGGATGTAGACACACTTCGTTTCTGGAAAACCAAGCAGCTCCGCTAGTAAATTGATATCCTTGTAGGTAGGCTTAGCGCGTAGTAACTGCCAAAGAAATCATTTCCTCATTACCTGATTTGAGTTTAACCTCTCCTTACGTACGTAAATAGTAATTTAAGCGGCGGTAGTCACTTACCATCAGGTGAGCCGCATGCTCGTTTGCTCTCTGTGTTGTAAAAAAAAGCCTAGTTTCACAATATTAATTTTGAAAGACACTCTAACAAAGACTCGCTTCTTCGCATCCAATAGTAGAATAGATAGAATAGAAATAATCTTCTCTCTCCCTTTCTAATATTTAAATAGCCTTGTTTACGAGCTCTTTTAAATCGTTACTTTTTAAGACTCTACTGCAGGAATGTTGTTTGTTAGAAAGCAAACTTTGTTTCAAGTTGCTTAACTATATCATGACAACAGTTTACATCAACACACTATCTACGTGATAATCAAAATACCCGTCATAGTAAGTAAAGTAATTATGCATTTAAATGTATTAATATACTCTCACGCACGGTTTCCCATGAAATACTGATCTAATCATCGTAAAAACCGACTAAGGGAGGGCGAGGGATGGACAGCAGCGTCCCTATTAAAACATCTCTAAAGACTGCGGTTGCTAATCCGCCTGCTAGGCGTGGCAAACCCCTCAAGGGTGAGGTTATGTTCAGCAGTGGATAGTTAAAGGCTGATAGGATGATGATGAGTGAACTAATGTGATGTTAGCCTTAAGAAATGGTCCATTTCTGTGACTAGAGGCACGTTAGACTGTTCGTCATACCCATATCAGATTTAGGTTTAAGGAACGGTCATCAAAACTGCCCCTCGCCCTCGCCGTTGATCTTACCTCAGTAGCGACTTCTTTTCGGTCTTCGATCGGCGGCATGTTCCAAAATACGAACCCAACCACTGTCTCATCACGTAAATAAAAGATCAGACCCCGTTTGTACCGGTTCTGATATTCCTCACTCCTGAAAACGAAGGTTTAACATATCCAATTCATATTTCTGTCTTCAAGCAAGTGTGCACAACTGTGTTTTACTGCTGTGTATGAATGGAGGCTCCTATTGGTATGGCAACATGACTGTTGTCCACAGGAATTAATTCTCATGCATTGCACCCGAAATACATTTTAGAAACAATCTTCTTGACTTCATCTTTCAATTATGCGAAAATAGCAATTATTTTCTACCTATTCGGTTTTTATTTTGTTACATTTTAACTTAAATGATGAATTAAAACAAACATATGCCATTACAAACCTCTTGTAACATGGTTTGTCCCCATCGCCAGCTTGTGGTTCCATTTTGACTGGTACCTCATCAGGAGTGCATTGCTTGAACAGTGCAACCGTGGGCATACACGCACCTATCTCTCCCACCACCTAATAGAATACCATATAATAATTGTAACCAGGATTTATTCTGTGTGGATTTAGATAAAAAAATCTTGTGCCATTTTAGCCCATCCTAAATGTATCAAGTTTCATTCATATCACATCAATCGTTTAAATATTTGTGACAAAAAGAAGGAATTATTAGTAGTAGAATGCCAGTTCTCATTTGGGGCTAATAAGTAGACAGACCTTACTCCTGTAACTTGTAATACTTACCTCCATTTCAAGCGCGTCTCCAAGCTGCAACCAGTAATGTGGCTCCATGTTGCACGGCATCCAATAACCCGTCATGTTGGCACCAGCTATGTATCCTTGCTCTTCTGCATTGGTGTAATGCTCAAACCGTTGTCGTGTATTCTTCCATTTTGAGTAAAAGCTAGCAGCATCACCAGCCTGCACGTTGTACATAATTTTACTGTAGGTTATACTCATATTTTCACACCAATCCCAAAGATTAAGGAATAAAGCGAAACCACCTAGTCGTATACACCTGAAAAAGCTTATATCCTTCTTAAAGTTCGGTGTCTATTCAGTATCGGTAGGACGCTATGGAGTGTTATGATATAGTAAAATGATTTAATATTTTGGTGCCTTAAACTTACCACGTAAAGATGTGTTCTGGCCTCTAATTCCGTATTAACTTTAAAACCTCCATTCTTAAAGTCTTGCTCTAAGAACGAAGGTTCGGCCATCTCCATTCGGGGCTCGGTACCTATTGCTACTAGTACCTGTAAATTAAATTCTTTTTTTATTATATACGGTAATGATAATTAATTTAATTCATTACATTTTGCTATCGCGTATCATGACATAATTAGGTAAGGCGATATTAGGTACATACTTCCAATGTACGCATTTCTGCCGTGAAGTAGCTGTAGTTTAGTTTAAAGAAATATGATAGTAAAATTACAAGGTACGGAGGCATTGTGTACGTCACTGTAGCTTTCAGGAATGGCCACCATAGATATTACAGACTACACTTTGCTGATCATGTCTATGGGCGACAATTACCAATTTCCAATAATTGGACCATTAGATTCCTTTGCTATTTATCATAAAAAAAAAAACTGAATTATAGCTTACAAAATCTGTAACGAGGGAAGTCCCGTTCGACAGTGTCAGTTCTAATCGTCCGTCGGGCGATTCGAAAGCATCGTATATCTGCGCTGTAAATTGATATCATATATTAGCATATATTACCATTATTAGATGTTCTCAGCACAATGTTAAATTATGTTTAGCTAAATGCAAAGTAGTTTTGGCATAAAATGCGCTACCCATTTCTTTCTCGTCGGTGTCATAAGAGGCGACTAAGAGAACAATGCTCGAGGGATAGGCAGTAACATCCCTCTTAAAATATCAAAGCCTAACTGCGGTTACCAATCCAATTGGCAAGCGTGGCAACTACTAGCAAACCCCTCTTAAAGGGAAGATCTATGTTCAGCAGAGAACAGTTAACAGCTTATATAATAATAAAATATGTACATTAAAAACTATGTTAAACATTCGTTATCACAGAGACCTGATACCCATTTGGATAAATTGACGACTTTTAATAAATGAGATGCTGTTATATATATTTTTCACCGGAAAACATCTGATCTGACTTCGTGCTCACGTATTAACCCTAATAGTAACCTGCAGCACTAGCCTAAACCAAATAATATAGACGCAGTTATCATTCCATCTATTCATAAAAAAAGTGTGATACTGGTGTACTAAAATATTTTTTGTGATCTGATTCAACTTACTCAGTGGCATAAGTGTAACCCCTTCACGCTTAATCTTCTCTGCGGCCCATTCGCCAAGATACTCCGGCAGTATACTAGACAAGATGCCTTTGTCCTTGAACATGTGCACGATCTCTATAGGCTCTTGATCTTTAGGCCGTTCTACCACTTTATCTATAGATATAAACCGTTAAAAAATTAAACATGCATAGGATTGCAAATAGCTTTGTAAAGAAATCTACTGGACCAGTCAAATAAAACTAAAGAACAAAGTTGTTTTCTTATATGCAACTTAGAATGGCAAACAAGCTGACGGTCTACCTGATGGAAAGTGGTAACCATCGCCTATAGACATAAGAAGTACCATGGACATAACAGAATGTTTCGCCCATAACACTTCCCATGCATTGCCATTCCTGAGGACTCAGGTGTTATTCCTCTGTACCCTGTAAATTCACTGCCATATCCCACCCTTGAAATTGAAACATAAGCATGCAAACAAAACTGTTTCAAGGTAGAAACACGAATGGGACAGAGGCGTCCAAGCAAATGAATTTTGTATAAAGTCTCCCTCTGGTAAAGTTTCAATGAAACCAAAACTTTCTTAAAAAACCATTACTTCAAAAACAAAAACATTTTCCAAGACAAAGACATTTTCATGTACTTACTCATTCGACCAAGATGCCAAGCTAATTCGCAACCCAGACATCCGCCTCCGAGTATCACTACGTGTTTAGCAGCCTTCACCTTCCGATATGCAATCTCCAAGTCCCTGACAGTTCGAAACGTGCATACGCGATCGCGAACTGCTTTAGGTGCCGATTTGAATATTCCAAGATTCTTGGGTTTTGAACCTAGCAATAATAACTAATAAGTTTAAGACTATACAAAGTCGTCTTATTGAAAGAAATAAAAAAAAAATTATTCTTTTTAAAGAAACGTGGGTGGAAAAGTGACCATAATTTCGAGTCTCTGTCGTACCGTCCATCTACTCCATACTAACATGGCACATTACAGATGGAAATAGAATTATAAGAACTATTAGTATGCCTTCGTTATCAGTATGTACTGGCAGGATATTAGTGAGGATGAAGCCAAGCCCGTTGTGGTAAATTCACCGGGAATTAACCGATATGGTTTCCGGTGAGAGCCACACCGAGGCTGACCTGATAGGGTCCACGCTACATTACTACTAGCACTGGGGCTAGTAGTCTTCATTACTAACAAAAAATATTCTTTATTGCACTAAAACATACAATAAAAATTACAATTAGAAACAACGTAAGCAGAGGTAAACTTATCTCTAAAATAGATCTCTTCCAGTCCAATTAATATTTCCCAATCTACATAAATAATTCCAGGAAGGCCCTATGCTTATGTTGTCTTTGTAATGAATTTTGACCACTGGGAAAGTATTAGAGATAGGAGGGTAAACGAGTTCAGATCGAGTTAGTGGAGTGTGGACTTACTGTACCACTTACCAGGCGCGAGCAAACACCGTTCATAATAAATAGGCTGTTCTCCACACATAGTCTTGATGTAGACCACGTGTTCGCTTGCGTCCACCCTCTGCACGCACCATCCACTCGCTATCGACACCGCCGGCCCAACTTTCTTTCGATAAAATTCGACTGGATCCATAAACTTGTGGCATTCGGATAAGTACATGCTATACAAAAAGATACAGCTTTCCAAAAATTTGAAATCGGTTAATTGATTTATTTATTTAAAGCAAACATAAAATTTTAACAACACCTATGGCAATTACACAATTCAATATTTTATAAGTGAATAAAATCTTATGAAACGCTTCGAGGCGAGATGCTGCCTAATTGTTGGTAATAACAAATACAAAATGAAAAAAATATCACGCCAGAAACTACTGGGACAAAATTGACATAGTTTTCACAGTTGTATTCCAGAAGGTCTAACTTAAAATCTGATGTGTTTTATCATATAGTTAATAATAAATATAATGTTCCCTAATGCATTACGTGTATTTCCTTCCTTCTTCTATATAGTTGAGAGTTTTAATATCAGGCGGTTCTGGATTCCACCACATATGCTTCGACATCGGCGGGCGGCGATATGGCAAAATGTCTTCTTTTGTTATAAAGAAAACCTGGTAAATTAAAATTTGTTTGAAACAAATTAGGCTGACTATAAAAGGCCGATATGATAGTGATGACTACAATGCAAATATGACACTTTAGCTGTTTTGTCGTGTTCCATGATGGCTCTATAGGCAGCCCAGCCAGCTGCACCTGCACCCACAATCAGGTACTGCACGCAAGCTGGCAGATCTTTATCGTGATACGGTCGCTTGATCTTACGGCGTGGACGCCCTGAAATTAGAAGTATTTACTTAATAACTTTAAATTTTTTTTTTGAAGTTCAATTTAAGCCAGGTGAAGACTCTTAGACTAAAACAAATCTTAGAACCTTTCTCTTTTTAAGTTGGTTGGCGGATTCTGAGGTATGATTTCTCTAAATTTATCTCTTAACCTAATAATTTAATTTGATAATTTCACGAAATTACTGTTTTATGGATCAATCATAAACTAAAACTATAATCATTTTTATCTAAATCTATTAGATAATAAGTTTATATCAGTCCTTACAATAAAGATTTTCCTTTGGTTCCATTTTAGATAGGTTTAGAGAGATGATGTCTCAGAATCGACCCCATTATTTTTTAATATGCCAGCTATAAATTCACCCCCCGCCTAATTAGTTTTTAAAACGCTTAACGAAATATGGGCATATATCGAGCTCCTGTTAACTAACAATTGACAAATGATTATATTTTATTTCTTCAAGTTTGGCAACGCCCACGTAATAATCCTCGCGTTGCAGACATTCATTGGCTACAGTGACCGTTACCATCAGATGGGCTGTATGCTTACCACCTTCGTGGTATATAAGAAAATTGTGAATGACCTTGCTGATTGACTATTTTTAGACAATGATGACGGTGACACTTAAATTATTGCATTCTTACTTCATCACCACACCGCACACAATAAATAAATATACAGAGGCTCTCAATGTTAATGAAAACTAATGTATTTATAAACTTACATATTGGAACATTTTCACCCAGTCTATCTCGTTCTTCTTTCCACAGATATATTCTATAGATCTGAAAATATATACGATGATGAAAAGCAGATGCTAAATATGATATGCAGGTAGACTGTTGACCTTTGTTTCTCTATGCCTACCATTATAAAGACTTAACATGTAGTCGACACTTATTAAGTAAGCAGTATAAAGATATTTAAATCCTAAATTATACATCAATCGCCAATGAAGCAAGAAATTCTAATCGGAATGCTCCTTTCAAATAACTTCACAATAATTCATTTAATAAATTCTGGTAGCGAAAGATACTTACTAATCCCATTGTAGTAAAAAACGATGCCAGTATCCAAACGTATATCCAAGGAAACGGTTTTGGCGGTGGAGGCGGGCATGGAGGTTCATCAGGCACTGGCTTCAGAGAACATGGACCCTTGGTCCTCGCACATTCTAACATTGGCTGCGAAGATGTCACAACAATATTGTACACCTATGTCTATCAAGTTGAATCCAAACTATTTTGATCCACTTTTAGTTGTTTCTGATAAGTCACAATTGTTCAATTAATGGAAGCACTAGATTCAGGCAAACGAATTACAATTAGAATAATGGCTCACGATTTTTACTAATAACAAATAAGAAACCATATTCAGTATTTTAACATTTATTTCAGATACCATGCGACATTCACTGTGTCATGAAACATTTTCAATTTTTATTTTGTGTAAAATCAGAGCCCCAATTGTCAATTTATGTAAGTTTATTAGTTTTCTCTACTTTCGGCAACTTCATTAGCCACTGACTCTTCCTTTTCAGCTTGTTCTAATAAAGCCATACGATTTAGGGGTTTCCAGGGTTCGTGAAAAGCATATTTGTACTTATTCTTTCCGTGGTACCCAAGTTTGGGTAAAGTCTCTCTTACTATCTCCTTCAGTTTCTTCTCAGACTTATTTTTCCAATAAACCGAATGTTCGATTGGAGTGTTATAGAACAGATCGTGCACAGGGCAAAAGCCAGGATTCTCACAGCCTACCCTCACATTCGTGAAGAGCTCCCTTGAATCTTCGATAGGTATTTCCTGTCAAAAAATGGAATTGAATGCAATTTTTTTTAGTAAGTTGCTGTTTTAGTGCATTGGACGAAAATCAGTACCCTCAAGTAAGTGGTTTTGAACGTATCGCCCAACATCCTTTCTACCAGAGGTAAATTACTTGTCGTTAGTGTGATAAATGTAATGCAGTCGGCAATCCATTTGTCCCACCATCATGTCGCTGTTGCTTTTCTCTTTACTCTTCTCTCTTCCAAAAAGACCTTTTAGGATGCCAAGGAAACTCTTCTGTTGAGGTTCCTTTTCCTTGGAAGCTTCCTCCTGAGGATAACCTTGCTGCTGGTAGCCATACCCCTGCTGCTGTTCATAACCTTGTTGATCACCGCTCTGCCCAGTTGTGAAAACGTATCCCGTCCGCTGATAAAGAAAGTACAAGCTGGATTTCATTAGATTCAACTTCCACGACACGGGGCTCTGATTTCGTCAAACGCACTAACAAAACCGACACATTGTCACAAGATAAAGAAATAAATGTCGTTACGGAAATAAGTTTTGAATTCTAAATTAAACAGCAAATTATAATTTTGGTAATTAATGTTACAAAAAGAGTAGAATTTATTGCTTGGATTTTGTAGTATGGTTTAGCATTTTAGCACGACTTTAACCCCAAGTATCGAGTATTTGCAGACGTACTGTTAAATAATATCATTGTTGTAAGCGCAATATAGTATACAATTTACAACTACCCACAAATAAAACAAACACTATTATCATTATTATAATACGTCGTTATCAAGGCCGTAGATAGACCCAAGTTTAAGGTTATAACAAAAGAACTTTTTGATAGGGCAGAAGCCACAATTAAGTGACTTCGAAAAAGCGAATGTGTCTAATTTTTTTGGTATCTTTCATTTTAAAGTAGGGCATTGGGCCTTTTAAAGTAAGGCATTGCACCTCAATAAGAATCGATAGATACGCATAATCATAAGATGGCAGACGTTATATATACAGTAGCGAAAACGTATATATCGATCGATTCTATCTATCTCGATCGATCTAGGGGCTATATTTGATCTATAAGATAAGAAATTATTATAAATACCTTGACATTACTGGCAGGGAGCGGTGGTACAACAACATTTGGTACTTTTATCCTGTAGGGATCATAATTAGGCAGCTGAGGTTCTCTGGGGCATTCACATCTCCATGAAGGTGGTGGAGGGTCGGGCTTTGGCCACGGCTCCACTCTTTTACCTTCGGTCTGGGCTATGTTCTTGCACCAGAAATCCTTATCCTTGGAGTAGTTTTTGAGATCTGATTACAAAGTAAAAGAATATACATGACAACAAAAAAATAGATCTTTAAAAATATTTACAGAGCAATTTTTTTTTATACAACTTAGAATGGCAAGCAAGCTGACGGTTCATCTAATGGAAAGTGGTAACCGTCGCCTATAGACATGAGCAGTACCATGGACATAACAGAGTATACTGTTTCGCCCATGATATCCCCCATGCGTTGCCATTCCTGAGGACTCGGGTGTTATTCTTCCGTACCCAGTAAATTCACGCCATATCCCACCCTTCAAACCGAAACACAGCCATGCAAACACAACTGCTTTACGGTTGAAACACGAATGGGACAGAGGTACCCAAGCAATCGACTTTTGTACAAAATCTCCTTCTGGTAGAATAGAAAAAAATTCAAAACTATAGACAAAATCAAGTGAATGATATTTCTATATAGAGTAGGTATTATAAATGTTGGAATACCCAAATATCAGATAATATCAAAGGGAGACTTTGTACAAAAGTCGTTTGCTTGGGCACCTCTGTACTATTCGTGTTACTACCGTGAAGCAGTTGTGTTTGCCTGGCTGTTTCGGTTTGAAGGGTGGGATATGGCAGTGAATGGCAACAAATGGGGGGTATCATGGGCGAAACAGTATACTCTGTCTCTTCAGGGGTTTTGCCAGTAGTTGTCTTATACGACACCCACGGAAAAAGAAGGGGTGGCTACACATTATGAACGATAGGAGTCATAAATTGATGGGGATTAAAGATGTAGGGAAGTCCTTAACCCTTAAATACCTGAAGTTTAAAATTTGATACCGGGGTTATAAATCGCATTGGGCGCCTACAATTGATTTTATTTTAATATTTGGCTGTTTACATGTTACCAAATGTTTTTTTTTTAAATAAATATATAAAAATTTATTTATAAATATTTTATTTTTTTTACTATTTTTCCCCATTAGTAAATACAGTAAAGGGTATACTTATATATATATATTTTTAATTTGATTAAAAAAATCAGACTTTTAAGGGTTAAAACTTATTTCTTCAACCTATATCACTTAAGTACACTAAGTTTCGAGATTATTATACCAAGGGAATGTAAAATAAAATACATATACTTACTGAGCCCAGCTACGATGTGTCCTATACTATTATTAATTGCAAACAAGCCATGGTTACCACGTTTTAAGAGACCACTGCATCTGAGTGGGCTTATTAACATTTTGTTACAAGCACACAAATTCTACAAATATGTTTAAAAACGACACGAAAATTTTTAATTTATATTTTATTATGATTTACATTATTTTGTGACGGTAACTAATTTATTCATTTTGATAGAAACAATGAATGTTTCACTGCTTTTGAAATATGGAATGATAGTTGTTTTCTTTTAAAACGAGATTACGACAAGCAGAAAAAAGGTAGTTTAACGTTTTGCATCAACGTTTTAAGAGTACCTAATTCTAGTTCATAGGAAAATTAGTTAAGCACTCGGTAGGTTATTGTAATTCAAATGAACTATATGTTTTTTTAATGGCAAAAATGTTTTATTTGTTTCTAAATAATTTAATTTTTTTTAATAATTCTTAAAAATGTCGTCATGTCATCGTTTTATCGGCCGTTTACTATCCACTGCTGAACACAGGCTTCCCCCATAAGAGGGGTTTCGTCAGTAGTTGCCACCGTAGTTGTTTGGCAACCGTAGTTAAGATTTGGTGATGTTTTAAGAGAGACGCTGTTGCCCGTCCGTCAACTATTAAGTTCCCCTTGTCGCCTCTTAAGACACTCATAGGAAAGGAAGCGGTCGCCCATAGCGCGGGCTGGGTTACAATTCCATTTTCATCCAATAAAATAAGTGTCAGACACATTGTAGTGAAACGTCGAAACATGTATTTAATATCTGTCTTTCATGATTTTATCTTTTACTAGCTGACTCGGCAAACGTTGTTTTACCATATACATTATTTCGAAAACTATACATAAAAATTTATCATACTACAATTATTATATTCTATGGCCATCTTGCAACCCTATTGCGGAATATAAAAATCGCGATTAAAAAACAGGGGTTGATTGTAAAAGCGTGAAAATTTGAAGTTGTATGTATTTTTCAATGCTAAATCATAGTAAAGATAAAAAAAAATATCGAAACATTAAAAAAAGAATATTTAGGGGTGCGTCACCCTTATCATTGAGGGGTATGAAAAATAGATGTTGGCCGATTCTCAGACCTACTCGGTATGCACATAAAATTTTATAAAAATCGGTAAAGCCGTTTCGGAGGAGTTTGGTAACAAATACCGCGACACGAGAATTTTATATATTATATGTAAAAAGACCGTTTATGTTTTACAATAGTCAGCTTCCCACAACTTCAAAAACAAATTTGAATACCCACTTATCTGATATGAAATCGACAAGCGAAAAAAAATCCAAATAATTTATAGGCACATATTTAATCGTCTCAACATAAATATAGTAATATAAATAAATGAAAAATATATTTGTATTTACAAAGGAGGCAGTCGAAAATACCATTAGAATTACAAAAATCACATTTCAAAGAAAATCAAATATTTTGAGTAAGTATGTAGACACTGAAAAGGCAAAATGTAGTAAGCACTTCAACCGATATCAAGGTTAATATATTAAAAACGATTTTTTTATACGCTGATAAAAAAAAACGTGACGTGTGTTTTTTCACTAAAGATTTATCACTTTATTCTTTTTTTTTTTTTGAGTCTAAATAAATTAACCGAAGCATATTGGTGACGATTTGGCCAAATCACAATATGTCAACAAAAATCATGTCAAAGAAAAAGATGCAATATTAGCTGTTTTACTAAATAAGACATTAACTATATTAGATACCTATTATTGCCAATTTACCAATTGCTTATTTTTTTTTCTTTGATTAAAAAAAAACTAAAACATTTTTATTTTGTAAAATTGACTAAATGGTGCTCACCACATTTTTCCTTTCCAGAGTATTGACTCTTTATCACTTTAAATTTCCGTGGACTCAATCATCATAAGTTACAACATCACTTGATTTTGTACAATAGAGGACTCCATTGTATAAAATTACATAGAATATAGAGGACATCATACAATTTCATTAAAAAAAATCTAAATAATGTATTAAGGAAAATAAATTATTGGACCAAAAGTTATAATACCGAACACCTTATGAATTTGACCGTAATGGCAAAATGCGCATAATGGCCACACCCATAATAACATAATACTCACAAATCTAGATAAATACTTCTTATGATACTGGTCAAATGTCTTTCCCTCATTCTTAAATTAAAAAAAAAAAATAAGAATTTCTTCTTTTCGGGTCAACTAATTCATGTGTTCTTTTCCAGCCAGCTCATTTTCAGGCCACATCTTTGACCTCCCTATACGACATAACTCTTACTTACATTTAGACGCAAAAGGAAATAAAGATGCTCATAATACATTATTTTTATATTGTGATGTGTCAATCACAATCACATTGGGATTAAATCGTCAAATGGACGTCATTTGTTTGACGTATATTCGATTTGATTTCAATTCGATGCACAGTGTTTTTTAAATTATGAAAATGTAAGTTTATGCCACAAATAGAATAAACTCAAGACATACAAACCGTGCGGCCGTGTGGTCCTTATTCGTGGCTTAGAATAGGCCATCCCTTTCTTTCCCGTGGATGTCGTAAAAGCCGATTAAGGGAGGACGAGGGATGGGCAGCAGTGTCCCTCTTAAAACATCTCTAAAGCCTGACTGTGGTTGCCAATCTACCTGCCAAGCGTGGCAACTACTGGCAAAACCCCCTAAGGAGAGGCTTATGTTCAGCAGTGGACAGTTAAAGGCATTATATCAATATACGAACTGTCTACAAATTGGGAATAATCATGACAAAAATGTGTCATGACTTTGTCACATCTTGTTTATTTCACATTTGACCAATATCATTTAAATACATGGACTAGGTTTTGTACTGCCCAATGCGGATATGAATTAACGTACACGACACACGCGTTGGGTACATTTTGGAGGTCATTACACTCTCATACATATCATACAAATCTTAAATACATTAAATAAAACATTGATACCAAGTGAACTCCATACTTACATTATTCTTGAAAGAGGAATAATTTTTATTTAAGTAAAAACAAAAGTATTTTTTTGTTTCTACCAAAACACAACATATTAAAAAGCACGTCAATAACTAATACATATGATCCTATATATGATAGTGTAATAACCTCCTTACACCTCAACCACTCTACAACGATATAATAACGAAGTCACAATCACACAAATTCTCACAATATTCTCAGCTATGTACACTAAAGTACAAAAACCCTTTATACATACATTTACTTATTCTATGTACTTCGCCTATAAAAAAATTATACAAACACCTTGTATTGTTTATAGATCATAACTGGACAGTTGTAAAGTTTTTTTTTCATACCACTGAAGCGGCAAACAAGCATACGGCCCACCTGATAGTAAGCGGTTACCGTAGCCTACGTAGCTTTTGAAGAACCCCATGTCTTTTGGGAAAACCTCGGCAGGGAGCTCATTCCATAACCTAATTGTTCGTGGAAGAAATATCTCTGAAAACGCGTTGTACACGACCATTTAGGCTGTAGGGTATGAGGGTAAACGCCCTGTTAAAGGCGAGCCGTACGATGGTAGAGAATGGCCGTGGGCATCATATTGAACAATTCCTCTGAGCACAATCCGTTGTACAAGCTGTAGAAGATACAGAGTGAGACAAAATGTCACCTAAGACATAAGAATTCGATAGTTGTAAAGTATAATAATATAAGTATCTAAATTTGCATGGCAAACTGGCTGAATGTTATAAGGCTACCCAAAAATGTAAAATATTATCTCAACTTTCCACATTCATCCCAATAATATACTATACGTATAATTTTTACTTGTATACATCATTGCAAAATGTGCTAAGACGCTGAAAGATATATATTGAATTATTTTTGTATACAACTTAAAATGGCAAACAATCTGTCGGCCCACCTGATGGAAAGTAGTAACCGTCGCCTATAGACATGAGCAGTACCATGGACACAACAGAGTATACTATTTCGCCAATGATACTCCCCATGCGTTGCCATTCCTGAGGACTCAGGTGTTATTCCTCTGTACCCTGTAAATTCACGCCATATCCCCCACCCTTCAAACCGAAACACAGCCATGCAAACACAACTGCTTCACGGTAGAAGCACGAATGGGACAGAGGTACCCAAGCAATCGACTATTGCTGAGTACGATGACCTGTATAACCTTTTTAGCCTTAGAATTTGCTGATTATAAATTTTAATTGTTTGCATCATACATAAAAGAAATATTTATAGATTTTTTTTTAATCATATTTATTGTTCATTAGTAAAAAAAAAAAAAAAAATTAATTCACTCTTCAACACCCGAGTGGAAATACAAAACAAAAAAAACCCTAGCAATATAAATTGTAAATTAAAAATGCAAAACCAAAAACTTTATCCGAGCCTATCAGTCTTTCCAAGTATTTTAATTAGATATATTACAAAATGTAACAATCAAGCGTTCGAAATATACAGTAAATAACTATCTCAACAAAAAATACAATAAAAGAATTTAAACTAGAAATTATTCTTACGTATTACGTATCTCATTCAGGACAGTTCGATCTACAAACGATACGGTGGAACACACGTTGTCACCAAAGGTTCACAGCACTATCATTCTCATTCTAATCCGAACAGCCAGTTGATGCCTTGAGCGAGGAACAGGATGAGGGGTTGCCATGCAACCAACCATCGGATCCAGTCCAGTAGCTGACCGTAGAGGATATGCGGCCGGTCCCAGCTGGTAGTGTGTTGTTAAGGTTTTAGATTTTTTTTGTTACTTATAGTCCAAGCAAGCGTTGAAATAAAATAATATTGTTCTCTGTATGGAAAATCGCGTAGTAAATTCGATAATCACTCCTCTCCATAATTGTACAAATTCGATGTATTAGGAAAATTGTTCGACAATTAGCGCCATCTTTTTTTTTTTATACAACTTAGAATGGCAAACAAGCTGACGGCCCACCTGATGTAAAGTGGTAACCGTCGCCTATAGACAGACAGCAGTACCATGGACATAACAGAGTATACTGTTTCGCCCATGATACCCCCCATGCGTTGCCATTCCTGAGGACTCAGGTGTTATTCCTCTGTACCTAGTAAATTCACGCCATATCCCACCCTTCAAACCGAAACACAGCCATGCAAACACAACTGTTTCACGGTTGAAACACGAATGGGACAGAGATACCCAAGCAATCGACTTTTGTACAAAGTCTCCCTCTAATATTATACATCTAGTTATTAACGCATAATATAAAGTGCAAAAAAGTAAGTTGTCAGTTTGTTTACCATTTAAAGTATCATAAAAAAGACTTGAAAGCTGTAAAAAGATGTGAAAAGAAAAATAATAGTTTGTAAAAGGATACGGGTTAGTGAACATCCGTTTGAGATCAACTTTCTCCTTGCAGTATGGGCAGGTCTGCTTTTTGCCCACTATGCACCAGCCTCGTATACAGAACTCGTGGAACACATGACCACACGTCAACTTGTACGTATTCTCTGTAAAACATGTATAAAATCATTTAAAATAAAATAACAATAATTTTTATTCAAGTAAACTTAATAATAAGAATTTTTGAAGTCATTTTTTTTATAATCTACCGTCCAGTTCGGAACGCAATTTCAGTTGAGAAGAATGGGCAAGAAATACAGCTTTTTTTTTTAAATAAGAGCTAAGTGTACAATATATATATATATATATATATATATATATATATATATATATATATATATATATATATATATATATATATATATATATATATAATAAAAAAAAAACATTGTGCAATATATGTTAATAGGCCTACCCATTTATTATGTGACATAAACATCACAACACATAGAAGATGGTAACAACTTTCCATCAAGTGGATCGATAGCTCGTCTGTAATGGTTGTACATAATATTTTTTTTTTTTTTATTATAGAATACTCTACTACATTCAGCATTCTTTCTACAGATTAAAATCCGGCTCGAAGGACTGAAAGGGTAACGATCGATGCTTTTACTTAGATATAGTTAATACTTAATAATATTACGTTCCATGGTGTGTACCATGTATGTGTGTGTATGTGTACAATTACCTATTAATCAGTATCATTAAAATCATTATGATGAATATTTCAGTCGTTATTTGTCAACTGCTGAGCTAGGGCTCAATATTTCAATGCTTATAAAACATTGAATAACAATGATTTAAACGCCTGTACCAAAATACTGATTGGACAAATTGACAAAACATACAAAATACGTACTGTTTCCAGTATGCTCTTATCTCAAAAAATTACGCAAATTAAAACTTGATCGCAAATCAAAGACGCAAAAAATAAATATTTATATCAAATCACCTATTTATGTCTGGCGCATTTACTTCTGCCACTAAATTGTTTACAATCTGAATTCTGATTTGAAAGATGAGTTATGGCAGCGAAATTACTGATTACTGTAGCTTAATGTTCTCAGACCGCCGAACAGCGACTGACGTTTATAACTCGAGCGCTGCATTCATTATACCCTGAACGCTTATATAAGGTGTTACCAAATTATCTGCATTCCCTGCTACAGGGTACAGTATTAGATTACATAATATTAGGATAAAAAAGGAATTTCATGTCGAAGTAGTATGACATTATTTAAAAAAAATGGTAAAATACTTAAATTTCTTCATTGCTTGTAAAACGTCCTCATAACTATACTTTTCTCTATCACATTGTTGGTCGCGCTCACTCAGTCGGTTTCAGCGTAACGTTTTTTTAAAAGGCACTTTTTACACAGGTTGAAAAGTTTACATTTATGAAGGATATTTTTTTTGTATGAAAAATTTTATGACATAATGTCTCAAAGACACGAAGTTCTATCATTATCGTAACGTATATGTGTAATACTATTATTCGTATATGTGTATATTTATATTACATTCCCTTAAAAGGAATGCAGATAATTTGGCAACACCTTATATACAGGATTGTATGTATTATTACCATCCATGCTATAAAATACCAACATACCTAAAACTCCTTCTTCATTAACATTTACAAGTAATTGGTTGCCGCAGACTGCGCACACGTTACTCTCGAGCTGCCGGGTCGGCATGCCTTCTTGAGTGTAGTACTAGAAATAATAGATTAAAATAACGATTCCAGCATAGAAAGAACCTCACTTTACATACGTAAACAGTAAGGGTCTGTTTCCAACCGACTTCAAAAAAGAAATAAACGTAGTAAATGTAACTTAAGATTTAATTCCTTATGAATCCAACCATAAAAGTCCAAAGGAACCATATTTTAATATTTTTAAAGTATGTATTATGCAATTTTAACATCAAATTTATGTTTCATTCGGCTCCGAGACTTCGGAAAACATTTCATGGTAGACCCTCTAAATATATCGTCAAGATTTTGCGTCCCGTGTGAAACTGAGGATCGCTAGTAACACTACATAGATCGGAAAGCAAAGGGTCTAATTAACCGACATATATAAGGTCGACCTTCACGTGGTTCCCCCTGGTAACCGTCGTGGTTAATTCTAGTGGAATTCGTCACGATGGGCCAACTGACCTGCTTTCATCCTCACCTGTCATCCCTCACTGGTGTTCCGCCAGCGTATCCTGATGGACGGGATTGCCATTCCATTATCACCCATTAAAAAAAGAAGTAAATCTACATATAGATGTGAAAGTTTGTAAAGGTATTTCGATTTTTATTTTCAATCACGCTTAAATGTCAGAATGAATTTGAATAAAATTTAGTACTCAGAGATTATATCCTAAATTAACACATAAGATATTTTATACATCAATGTACACGAGCAAAGTCACGGGAAACGGCTAGTGTAAAAATAAAGAGCTATACTTACACCAATTGTAGCGGCCATTTTATCAGTACAATACTCGGCGACGTCCCGTCCTAATACTCCAAAGTACAACCCGTAGAAAAGGAACACTAGCGCCACGTCCATCCACTGCTGGGGCTTGTGTCCGAACATTATGTTTAGACCGAGGAATGTCAGCATCATCAGCACATACCCAAACACGCCCAGGAAACAGCTTAATTTGTATATAAGGTAGAACCATTTATATACCAATCTGTAATAAATAATTTATTGTCTAGTAAGGGATCAGCAAGTCTACTCTTGAATCTAATGTCAATATTAATCAAATCTATTGCCAATGACAATTTTATACTGCACTCATGAAATAACAGTTAGGAATTAGGTTAGGTTGGGATCGGTTTACAATAGTTTGCATTAGCAAGTTATACTAATATGTATCTGTTGGGGGGAAAGGGATTGTTAGTAATGGAGACTGAGAATCCTATTGCTAGCAATATACCCAACCAGGTCGACCTCCGCGCAGTTCTCCCTGGAAACTATCATGGTTAATTCCTAATGAATTCATCATGATGGGCTAACTGGCCTGTTTTCATTCTCTGTTTTCTTTTCATTTCGTTTTTATCACCCTTCACTGGTGCTCCGCCAGCATATCCTGTTAGTGTAGGCGAGGTTACCATACCATTTTCACCCATAAAAAAAAATATGTATCTGTCGGAACAATATGAAACCATTATGTCGCTAGTATTGCCATTCGAAAGTGTGAAACAACTCAATTTCAATTTATTTTAAGAGTAACCCCACAGGTCCAAATCCACATGGTTCCTCTTGGCAAACATTGCCCTTAATTCTTGTCAAATTTTCACAATAGGTAACTTTATTACTTTTTTAATAGTTGAAAATGGAATAATAACTCCGCCTGCACTATCAGAAGGCACTAGTGATGCAACAAAGAGATGTAATAAATGAGGATGAATGCAGGTCAGTTGGCCCATTGATAGGTCCCTGATAGGGTATTTTGCTAGTTTTAGGGCTATTAGACCCCATTACTAACTATCCCCTTCCTCCCATCCTCTCTCACTGGGTCCCTGCTAATGTATACCAATTGGTGGAATTACTATATCATTATTATCCATTAAAAACAAACATAATGAATGGTTTATTAATAAAGAGATCAACTTATTGAGTGTATTAAGATTTCTTTAGGGTTGGCAATGCACACATGACACCCTTAGTGGTGCAGGCGTTCACAGACTACAGTAACAGTTTACCATAAGGGCTGTATGTTTGTTGCCATCTTCATGGTATAAAAAAGAAGTTATAGGAACATTTTCATCCAATAAAAAGAACAAATATACAATATTTTATACAACTACTATATACATCTGTGATAGCAATATTATACACCCATTAGTATCAACTAATAGTTTAAAAAAAAGATTATAAACTAATAGAACTAGGTACATAAAAGCTGTATATATAAATTGTGTACTAATAGTGGAACATTCTAGGCATAGTTAATGCATTCTCTCTGCCTACCCTGTAAGAAACATAATATGAAGATATTTGTATTAGATAGATAGATAGATATTCTTTATTGTTTCCTCCAAAAGATTACAATAGTAAACTTATTATAAATATAAACAATTACAAGAAATAATCACAATGAGGGAACAATGGGTGACCTTATCGCTAAATCTCTTGTGTGATCTCTTCCAGGCAAGCTTTGGAGTTAATAGAAATCAACATAGATGCATAAAACAAGTCATAATGATGGGCAAAGCAAGATTTATAAGAATAGATATCTTTAGCAACCAATACTCTCAGATCAACTAGGGATGAAAGTAGGTAGGAAGATAGATAACTCACCTTGGGGTTGTAACAGACATAGGTTTATGTGTAGATTTCCTAATAATAAGAGCAGTTAGAAGTGTGAAAACAGACCATATGGTAATGAATCTCCACCATTGGTTTTTAATGCTCATAAGTACTGGTATTGACCACATCGCCACCATTGTAAAGAACTGAAAAAAAAATAAAGCTTTATTACAGAAAAAAAAAACTAGTTATATGCAAGTTAAATTCTGACAACTATCTGTATGATACAGCTACCCAATGTCATTAGAAAAATCTTTTAAATTTAGAACAATTTGTTTGTAATTTTCTTTCTTACTTATTAAAACATATTTAGACATATACACATGTAGATTTTTTTCATACTCCATTGCATAAAAAATTATATGGATGTTTTATTTTTTTAGTGACTTTAGGCAATATTATTTGCATGAGTGTTTATTTTACTTTTAGAAATGATGTCGCCTATCTCAGGTAAACATGAATATTAACAATTCTACAGTATTTATGAGTAAAAGAATTATTGGTTACAAAAATACAGGAAGCTCTCTAAGGAGGATTGATTATTTATTAATTTTTCTTTATTGCACAATAAAACTTTGTATGAATGGCGAGCTTAATACCATATGGCATTTTCTACCAGCTTACCATTAGGTACAACAGAGAGAGTATGAAGGGCAGATGATTGTATTTTTGTACAGATCTCTTGCAATATTTTTGATGATTGTAAAATGATTTTACTGATGACTCAGTTTTTTTGTTTATAATTAATAATTATACAATTACACAAATAATCAGTTCTTTGACTAGACAGTAAGGAATGAAACAAGAAGACTGATACTCACAGCATAAGACCTATAATGCCTTTTTTTCCATTCCACAACAATAATCTGAGCCACAATGAGGGTTCCGATCAGTATTAATACCATTGTGGTGTGCATAGACTCATGGCCGCGATGCATCTCATGTAACTTTTGGTGGTCATATCTGAAATGAGATTTATATATAATGTTAACAAACAACATTTTTTTATGCGACTAAGGGTACCTTCTGACCGACTTGAGTCAGTGAGACCCTTCAGGAATGTTTTCTTAAGGTTGAGAGTGTGGATAAAGGTACTTAAATAAATAAGTATAAACAAAACGATTTCATATAAAAGTATTGGGACGTTTTGGGTCTATCGAATTGTATTCCTCGAGGGAATTAGAATGGCAAAAAAAAAACATTTTAGTTACTAATTGGATAGTTGCATTCCAATCTAACATTTGTTATAGATAACCTAATAAAATTAATATGACAAGGATCGGTAATAAAATTAATACAAGAGTAAAATCTTACCTTAATTTTTCTTCGGCTGTCATTTCTTCATAGGTCTATGGGAAAGCAAATGTATTTAATTAAAAAAATAATAAAAAAACACCTTATCAGTAATCTAAACATATACATATTTTATTTACCTTATTAGGATCAACTGGGCGATGCAAATCCATATTTATTATTATAAATGCACGAAATATACTAAATTATTAGTAAAAATATTTACATTAATTATAATTAATTGGATTAATGAAATATTTTCGTTTAAAGACATAAAATAGATAAGAAAGATTCTGTCATTTTTGTAAGTTTGATTTGACAGTCTTGACACTTGATGATAATTAGCCTGAATCGTAGATTAAGGATAATACCTGTCGTTAAATCATAATTTTTTTCATGCTAAAGGGCACTATTATAATGGGTTAGAACTATTTAGTGAAATTGTTAAAGTTGAACCTACTAACTTGAGTAATCTATTAAATAATTCCGTCTCTGAAAACACCAATATTTTATGGATTATAGTAAATTTTATCAAAATATCCAACTATAAATTATATTTGATTTATAAAATCTATGTATTTATTTTATATATTCATACGAAATATATATTTAAGATTATGTTATGATATTTATCATTAACTCATATTCAGTTTTCTATCCCAAAAAGTCAAAATTAGACCAATCGTTTAGATATAATTTCTGTCTCCAGTACGAGGTTCTTACACATGACGCTACCAGAAATGATCGTAAAAATAGCGACCGATTGCCGTTACTGATGAAAATAAGCCAAACAAAGATTTTGCAAAAGAATGTTCTTAGAAGATGAATATCTGTCGTTCGATCAAAGAAATTCCTTTTCCATTTTTCTTATTCTTAGTGGACTTACTTCACTAAAGTTTTATCTGTTATAATTACATACTCTGTTTTATTTACCTTTTTTATTTTATTATAAAATATTATTTTAAAATAATCTTACTATCATGTAGTGATTATTTGCTCTATGCTTGGGAATAAATTGTTTTTTTACAAATCTAATTTACCTGTTAGTTATCTTTTTCGCCTAAGACTGTTCACTGACCAAAACTTATTTTGGAATTCACTGCTCATACTTTTGCTATGCCGAATAAAGGTACTATGAGTAGTATATCCCAGATAGCTGGTGAATAATTACCTTCTATTTAGAGACTATCATTTGCCATTCTAATTCTTAAAAAAATTTTTTTTAGAAGCAAATCGAGCATCAGCTCCTGAAAATAAACAGCCAGTTGCTGCACAGACTACTGTTGCTGCTAAGAACCCTGGTCCTTTATGTAAGACTGTTGGTGGAAAGGTAAGATATTGAGTTTTAGAAACTAATTAACAATTGGGTTATGTTTCTATTTTGTTACACCTTGATTCATTGTACTATCGATTTTTATGTTAAAACTGATAAAGTATTTTTAGAAGAACTTAATAAAAATTAAACAAATCAGCAATGGAGCGACCATAAAGCAGTCTGCTGATCTCAAATAGTAGTTCAAATAAAAAAAAAAAATTATTTAGAGATCTTTCTTGTGATAACATAAACAAAGTTTGTTTACCTTTTCATTAATTTAATTGAAATGGGCTATAGATATTATTCTAGGTTTGAATAAAGGACTAACATTTACTTTATGACTGTACATGTTTTAACTTTTCATAAATTTTTTTCTTCCAATATTTTTTCCTTCCAACCACATTGAGCCTACATTACCAAGAAATTAACAGTGATTTCTCTGATTGATTGTTTTATACCAGTGTTTCTATTATATATAATTTATCACAAAAGTATTATAAGCTTTTCAGTAATAAGTTTATATTCCATCAGACTGCCAATGTCTATATAATGTATCAACATTTAAACAGGTACTATTAGAACAAACAGCATTATAAACCAGTATTTCTCAGTGTTTGCTGTGACCCCCTTAGGAGATCACAGTAATGGCCTATATCAGTATGGATTAATATTATTTGTCCACAATAATAATAAATATAAATACAAAGTAAAGTGTAATCATTAGCATTCTTTTATTGCAATACTGTACATTGTATAGTAAAATTGAAAATTTTCTCCAGCGACAATAATGTGTCATTTTTCAAGTACATTACACCCTAGTACTCTCATCTGTGTTGTTGTATGTGTGTCAGCGTCTATGTGATCAGGATATGTTTACTGATGGAGACAAAGTACCCTATATTCTTTTTCACCTCATTTAATATGTGCATATTAAATTTCAGAGAGATTTATTAAGGCACTATAAGGTAACAAAAAACTCACTTTCACATAAGTACACAACATTAGTAAGGAAGTAGGGGCATATAAAAAAATAGGTGCTGATTGATAATAATTCTGTAATTTATATTATATACACTATTTTGATGTTAATGTTTCAATAGATTATTCTAGTCATATAAATATTGTTCTTATTTGACCGTGCAGTATTTTATCATGGCATTACGAACTATATGATAATTATTAATAAAACATATTCACTATATTTCACTATCAACATTATTATTTATTTATACAGTAAAATAAAGGCACTAAATTGTTATACATTTATTTTAATTACAGTAACATCTATTATAGTATAAAATTTATAAAGTCAATTTTTTATTTACAAATTAAAAGCTAATATCAACTTTGTCCAGAAGTATGTCATCATCATATGTATGTTAGAACATGTGGCATATGTTTTACATAAACAATTCTAATGCATGAATTAAATGTGCTGTATGTCCAAAAATCTTGTGATACCAAAAAAACAATTGTTTGTTCACTCAATTGATGAACATATTGTATTCTAAAATTTCTATCAAATATTAATAAATTTTAATTAATTTAGTTAACTGCAGGAGTTAGAAAGACTATTGAATGTATGTATATATATATATATATATATATATATATATTTATGTATTTTCAGGGCTTTATTTTAGTATTTATCAATTTCTATCAAGTAAGAATTGATATACTAAGTTGCAATTTGTATTTAAATAAAATGTACACTGTAATATTCTTTTATAATTTATATATATATGTATATACTCGTATATGTTATAATGTAGGTAGACTAGGAACTCTTTACACATAAGGTATCACTCTTACATAATTAATAATAGTATAATAATATTTAGTACAGTTTAAAAAAACAATGAGGTTTTAAAAAATAAGTGGTGATGACTAGTCAGTATCATATTTATTAAATAATTTTTGTACATATTTTGCTAACGGTCGGTTTAACATATTGCCAATGTCCTTAGCCATCACAAAGTCCAAATGGTTGAATGGCCAGTTACCCGACGGCCCCACGGATTCCAGAACACCTGTGTTATTCAGCTCAGCTGCAAGTCTCATTACTTGCTGTAAGCAAAATTAGGAAAATTAAGTTTTTTTTTCCTATAAAATCTAGCTTTCATCATCAAGTATGCAATCAACATAAACACTAGTTTTAAAAATTGAATCTGAAATTGTAGTCCCGTCCCCTATCTCGAGATGATCTCTCTGTGACCCCTTATCTAAATCCAACCTTTTTTTATTAAGGGGTATAGCCCCGTTGCTAACAAAATCTCTCGCTGGTGCCTCGCCACCGGGCGAGGTAACTATTCCATTTCCTTCCATAAAAAACAGATGTCATCTATTTATGTAGTTTTAATTAATGACAATGTAATGGTAATTCTGCCCGCGCTAACGATATACGCTGGCGTGTCATCAGTGATGAAGGATAGGTATATTGCTAACAATAGGGCTGGTAGTTCCCATTACAAACAATCCCTTTTGTATGAAACATTCAATTGCGCCATACTTACTGATTTTTCAGTTAATTGGTCATTTTCTCCATAAAATAAAGATACAGGGACAGCGACATTTGACAAGTTATAAGCTTTCACTGTTCCCCATAAGCCGTCTTCCCATGATGTGAATACACCTGAAAAAGTGACGAAATGAAATGTAGATGTCTCTTAAATATATTTGTGACTTATATAAGATTTATTATTTATAAGCATTAGTGTCAGAAATAATATAGCTTGTGACCTGTGACTGAAGTTGTATGTTTGTTACGTCATAACTTCATCAGTTATAAACCGATTTGGAACATTCTTTTTTTAGCTGAAAGTATATTACTTACAGATTAGATCTATAGAATATAGTTTAGTTTTTTAAAACAAAATAGATGGTTTTGTTAGATTTGAATTCGGTTATTTTTGTGGAAACAAATCTTATTTTTAAATTTTATACCTGTTACAGCAATCTTTCCAAAATGCTCTAGCTGTCTCCACGATGCTGGCTGCATCTTCTTTAAAAAGATTGGCGTAAGCTCCTGTATAGCGAATAATAATATATATTTATTATATTATTATAATATTTATTTATATATTTAGATAATTAAAGTGTATATTACAATTATAAATTTGTTCAGCATTTGACATTATTTTTCTTTTTGCTTTTCAAGTGACATCTGAATTTATTTTTGACGCAAGTACATCATTTTTTCTGAACCGATTTTCACAATTCTTTTTGCAATCGTTTTTTGTTACTTATTATGAAGAAAAAAAACCCACCCTGATCGTTACTACAAGAAGTAAAAGTTCTAATATAGAAGCTAACTATTATTTAATCAGACTGACAGATCGATCTCCTCGCAGTCCTCCTTAGAAACCGTTGTTGTTTTTTTTTTGATGGGTGAAAATGGAATGGTAACCCCGCTTGCGCTAACGGGATACGCTGGCGGAGCACCAGTGAAGGGTGATAGATGAGAATGAAAACAGGCCAGTTAGCCCATCATGATGAATTCATCAGGAATTAACCATGACATAGTGACTTCATTATAATGAGCTAACTGACCTGACTTTATCGTTATCTATTATCGCTCGTTGATACCCCGAAGTAAGGGATTAAGGCAATTAATGTAGGTTAAAGTAATGTAGTTATCTTACCAAGTCAGTTTGTTCATAATCTTCTCCAACTAATCCAGAAATAACTCTCATGCATATGTCATTTTCGAGGTCTTTAATTCTACAGAAACTAGTTAAGATGAACTCCATTGCATTTGGGTCAATCGTTGCTGAAATAATCCCTCTTGAACGCATTGTAGCCTGTTAAATAAAATATTATTCGTAAAGTTTCTGGAAAGTTCCATAGGCTATTACCAAAGACGAGGTCTATTGTGTATGTAAATTTACTAACATTAGTTTTAAGAATATTGTTACTAATAAATATTTAATTGACCAAAAAAGTCCGAAATAAAAATTTGGTTCTATTATATTTTGTAACATTTTGTATATAAGTTTTCATACATTTTTTCACAACTAAGACTTAATTATGTACTAATAATAATTTGCAAAATAGCGATAAAGAGGTTTCTTTGGGGTCGGCAACGCGCGCTTAATGTCTCTGGCATTGCAGACATATATAAGCTATGGTAACCACTTATCATCAGGTGGGCCGTATGGTTACTTGTCACATCAGTGGTATAACAAAAAATAATAAAATACACACCGGAATGTTGACCGTTTTCAGCAGCGTATTAGCTAGAAATTTTGCATTATCCAAATAGACGGCCGGCGCTAGCGCTATGAACGCTATAATCTTATCGTTATATTCTGGCCTCTGGGACATCATGGTGAAGAACGTAGTGGTTCCCATTGAGTAACCGATGTATAGAAGCCTGTTTAGACCAGTCACGTTTAAGACTTTGTCGATCATCGCCGGCGCGTCGAGTTTTCCGTGTTCTTCGAAGCTATAAAGCAGACAATGAAAATAAAAATAAAGAGGCTCTTAACGCAAATGGAATATAGGTAAGGTAGTGTTCTATCAGTGCCGTGTAGTCCTGGCATAGAGTAGACCAACCCTTCCTTTCCCATGGGTATCAAAACAGGCAAGTAAAGAAAGTAAATGGTCAAGAGACACGCAGTTGTCTCTCTCTTAGAACCTCATTGGGGCTTGACTGCGCTTGCCAACCCGCCTGGCGAGCGTGGCAATTATTAGTAAGACCCCCCAATAAGGCGAGGCCTATGTTCAGCAGTGGACAGTAAACGGCCGATATAATGATGATGTTGTTTTATCACTGAACTGAATATTTCTCAGAAATAAATGTCGTCAATAACAAAAACATGAGATTTTTAGTTTAGTTGTTAATTATCGGTTTTCCATTCATGTTTCTTTGGATTTTTTATTTATACAACTTAGAATGACAAACAAGGTGACGGCCCGCCTGGTGGTAACCGTCGCCTATAGACATGAGCAGTACCATGGACATAACAAAGTATACTGTTTCGCCCATGATACCTCCCATGCATTGCCATTCCTGAGGGCTCAGGTGTGATTCCTCTGTACCCTGTAAATTCACGCCATATTCTACCCTTCAAACCGAAACACGGCCATGCAAACAACTACTTTACGGTTGAAACACGAATGGGACAGAGGTACCTAAGCAAACGACTTTTGTACAAAGTCTCCCTCTAGTGAAATTTACTGGGTTGTTATTACTAACAATTCCTTCTCCCCTCTGTATGGGAAAATCTGGCGGATATCTGTGCCACCCATTTCTGTTATTAAACACCTATGCTCACATGACTTTTCTATTTTGAGGATAAGTGTTGTTGCATAATACCTAAAGTGACACGATCTTTTAATCCCTACAACACCAGAGGAGTCACTCCCGATTCGTTATGGACCTTATAGAGACCCCTGCCTTCGGAGATCTTTAGTCTAATAATAGCAATTATTTTGGGTTGTGTCAAATGCGTTTGTAAGCGGCGGTAACCCCACACCATCAAGCGAATTGCCCACTTTTTCTTAAATTGTCGTTTAAAAAAAATCATAATAAAGTTCATCATCGTCTTCATTTCAGTTATTAACTTTCCACAGCTGAACATAAACGTTCTCCATAAATGGGGAGTTTTACCAGTTGTTGCCACGCTTGGCCAGGCGGATTGCCAATCGCAGTTGGGTTTCGATGATGTTTTAAGAGGAACGCTGCTGCCCTTCCCCCGACCAATAAGTTCCCTTTTCAGGGACCATTCTATGTCGGGACAATATGGCATTTATTAACAAAGTTACATACCTATAATCCCAAAATTCTGTATTATTTCTATGCAGCGTCTGATGTGCAGTGTACATGTTTCCGCGCAGATTTCCTAGCCACACGTCGTAGCCAGCGTCAGCCAGTATGTACCCTGGAAGCAATTACTTTACTTTACAGCCTAACTCGAAGTTCTGCGAGTATCTTACTATTGTACTTTACTATTGTAATCTTTTGGAGGAAACAATAAAGAGTATCTATCTATCTATCTATCTATCTTCTGCTATCTACTTGCTTGCGTACCTTGAGGGTGGTTTTGTCCAGTTGTTTTATTTACTGATCTCATGGAAATTCCTAAAAGCCTTCGTAGATGCCTGTGAGATCTTTTTAATTAATGAAAATGGAATGAAAGATAGTTGGGTGCAATCGTTATCGATTTAAGTTATCCGATTACTGCTGATCATTTACAGTCAATTGGTTTATCATCAGGAATTAACAGTAATGATTTTCGGGAAAGACCACGAATAATTTAACCTGGCAGGAGTAAAGGAATAGCTTTTTTTTTTAATGGATGATAATGAAATGGTAACCCCGCCTGCGCTGTCGGTGTACACTGGCGGGGCACCAGTGACGGATGATGCTGAGGATGAAAAGGCAGGTCAGTTAGTCTGTCATGACTAATTCAACGATAAATTAGTCACCATAGTTTCCAGGGGGAACCGCGTGGAGGTCGACCCGATAGCCTATATTAATAATAGTAGCAATAGGGACTAACCTCCATATTACTAACAATCTCTTCCCTCTAAAGTAATAGCTACAAATAATCTCTTCCCTTGCCTGTAGGATTTCTATAAGCATCAAATTTAAAATAAAAGTATTTACCAAGACTTCTGTCTGGCCCCATTATAACAAAGTCTGAACTGCTGCCTAACAATCCATGGACTATCAGAACAGCCTTCTTGCCCTTAGCATTAGGGGTCCCAGATCTTCTGATGGTGCGCCTTCCAGCTGGGATCCTGTGCATCTGCAGTATATAGCCGTCTGTTGTCTTCACTCTATGCTTCTCCGTGGGATAACCAGCTGATGTTATTAACTGAGGCTGAAAAACAAAACATATCCAAGTTAAAAATTTAACTAGTGATACCCCTATTGTTTTAAGTGCCTAAGAGTCAGGACTAAATATAGCGATGTTACAAATTTGAGCAGTGGTAACCCTATTGTTGCTAGCGCCTAGACGTCTGCAGACTACGGTAAATTTTCACCAATAAACGGGCCTTAACAAACTGTCTATATTCTTAAATACATCTCTATCTTCATTCATTTTTATAGCTCGCCTCACGCACACACTTAGATTTAATTCTAGACTTTTCTATCTGGCCTTCCCCGGTGTTATGCAGTTTTCCAACTTCGCATTGTATATTGGCGATCTTTATCACTTTCTATCAAGTGGATCGTCAGCTTGTTTGCCTTTCAGTGTTATAAAAAATATGTATGATTTAGTATATATACTTTTTATATAGACATTAGGTTATAACAAAAATGTACACAGGTAGACTTAGCCCTTAAAGGGATTACTTCCAGTCAACCTTGAGAATCCGAAAGGAGAATTATTAGAAAGAGAAGGAGAAGTATTAGGGTTTATATATAGAGCATAACATATGTGGCACAAAAATAATATGATAAGTAGTAATAGCTACTAACTATATACTATTTATCATATTAATATGTTTCAGTTTGAAGGGTGGGATATGGCGTGAATTTACTGGGTACAGAGGAATAACACCTGAGTCTTCAGGAATGGCAACGCATGGGGGGTATCATGGGCGAAACGGTATACTCTGTTATGTCCATAGTACTGCTCATCTATAGGCGACGGTTACCACTTTCCATCAGGTGGGCCGTCAACTTGTTTACCATTCTAAGTTGTATAAAAAAAAATAGAAATATATCTGTATTGTCAATCTGTCAAGACGTAGTTCGGTATGCCACGTCAGAGGCTTACGCATATATTTATAAAATTGTGGTCCACAAAATAAAAACCCACTTCAGTTGTGGCAAAACCAATTATTGTAATTTAAAAAAAATTAACTACTTAACCGATTTTAATAAAATTTCTATAGGACCATTCTGTAAGCATGTCCTTTCATATAAATAAGACGAAGTTATAAGGTAACAAACATAAAAGAAATACAATCGAATTGAGAACCTTTTTTCTTTAAGTCGGTTGAAAATAGTGGTATAGACAATATTTATTTATTTTAAAAAAAAATTCCATCTAGTTTATTTCGTTACACGTTGTGACAAAGATACATACACTCTAAAAACATTACTTTCCACTATCGGAAGCCTAGTGAAAAATCCTAAAACCTTGCTGTGTAATTTACCTTTTTAGGCTATGTAAAGTTTGTTAAAATTTACGGGCAACTTTGTTGTTTGTCTTACTAAAAGGTTTACTCCTATGAACATCATAGATAACTCAAAAGGTTCATCGGCAGTGTTTTAATATGTGTAACTTATGTTCCTCTAATCTTTCATTAGTATATCATTTGACACACAGAAAAAAAGAAATCGGAACTGATCAAGTACATTTTTATTAAAAGATATAAACATAATACATGTGTTTAGGGGGGAAAGGGATTATTAGTAATGGAGACTAAGAATCCCATTGCTAGCAATATACCCAATCAGGGGCCTACCATGAAATGAAATTCCGAAGTTTCGGACTCAATTTCGTGTTTTTGTTCGTACCTAAATCCGCCCAGTAAATGAAGATCAACATTTCGTTCGTCATAAATCCTACCATAAAAGTCCAAAGGAATAATATTTTTAATGTTTTTAAACGGTATTATGTAATTTTAACATCAAATTTGTGTTTTGTTCAGCTCCGAAATTTCGGAAAACATTTCATGGTAGGCCTTCAAGTCTACCTCCTCGCGGTTCCCCCTGGAAACTATCATGATTAATTCCTGATGAATTCATCATGTTCTGCTAACTGGCCTGTTTTTCATTCTCATATATCACCCTTCACTGGTGCTCCGCCAGCGTATCCCGTTAGCGCAGGCGGGGTTACCATTCTATTTTTACCCCCCAAAAAATACATGTGTTTAATATTATTTTCCTAATTCCCAAAGAGGGTAGAAGTCAGGCAGCCGGTCGTACAACTACAAGCCAAATCTTTTTGTAATATTGTTAAAAAATATATTACGTCGAGTCCGAATAATAATTGGGATAAGTGTAAGAAAATGATGACATATGTTTAATATAATAATCACTCAGATCTTTCTGTAATAAAATTCTATTAATTTCATATATACTAGGTACAGTTCATACCGATAAATGGCGTCGTATAAAAATAATGGACGTGACATCAGGACTAAAGATCAATTCAAATCCCAATTTCAATAATGACATGCAAAAAAGTTCCATCCGTTAATATTTGTATAATATTGCAGTTTTATAAATTATTACTACAAATTCTATTGTAACAAAGAATTTTTCGCCTAAATTTTCCGCTGTTTAGTCGATTTAATTCAAATCTATTATGTGAAAAGAAATCAAGTAAAATGAGCCTTCCGTCAGTAAAGCATAGGTTTTATTTTTAAAATACTACAAATATCTTTTAGCATTATTTCAATAATCGATATATCTATCGATCGTTGACGTATTTAAGTGGGGGGAGCACATGTATTTCCCAGAATTGTCTGGTGTACAACCGCAGAATAAGGAACAGAGCTTTCACATATGATTTAAGCGAAGACAAGTCGGAGAGTGTATATGTACCACTTTCCCACCAGTCTGCATGAATCAGGTTCCCCTGGAAAATAATCTAAAATACGTCAATGCCATCAACGTAATTGTCAATACATTATTGTCAGTTTATTATTATCAATATCAGTCGTTAACGATACGCTGATGAAGATAAGACGTAATGGGAAATTTGTCAATAGTTACTATCCTTGGCAGGCGGATTGGCAACGGCAGTTAGACTTTGTTGATGTTTAAAAAGGGACGCTGCTGCCCATCCCTCGACAGTTAAGTTCCCTTAGTCGCCTCTAACGATACCCACGGGAAAGGAAAAGGTGGCTCATTCTATGCCAATTTCTTTGCCACTTATTACTCTGTAAAGAAACTGTAATATCTCTAGACGGGATACTAGTCATTACCCGCGAATTCATCCCCGTAAAATAACGTAAATCCTCCATTCCAGATAGTATATTTAATATGCCAAATAACGTAACGATTGTTTCTACACTCAGTGCCAAAAAGTATCAAAAAAAATTACTTTTTACCCTACTTTTACATCATTTACATCATATTAGCTATTATCCGTTCACTATTGAACATAGGCCTCCCACATAAATTAGGGAGTTTTGCTAATAATTCTCACGCTTGGCAAGCGGGTTGGCAACTGTAGTTTTTTTTTATGTTTGAAAATGGTATGGTAACCCCGCCAGCGCTAACGGGATACGCTGGCGGAGCACCAGTGAAGGGTGATAGATGAGAATGAAAACAGGCCAGTTAGTCCATCATGATGAATTCATTAGAAATTAACCATGATAGTTTCCAGGGTGTCGTAACCGACGACCTGGTTGGGTATACCTTAATGGGTTCTCAGCAGCAACAATCCCTTTCTCAAAAAAATCACTGCAAAGTCTAACTAGTCGTCGGTTACGACACCCACGGAAAAGAAAGGGGAGATAATCTGCTTACCACTGTAGAAATGTGAAAGTTTGTTAGGTAGTTTAGATGGGTTTTGTTTTTTTTTTTTTTGTTTTGTTTTGTGAAAAGAGTATTGCATGCAAAAACTTCTGGACGGATTTAATCGAAATTTAATACACTTGGCAATATAGTACCAGAGGACCACGAGTCAGTTATCAATACACACTTTTTTTTTAATATGGAAAAATTCGTTTTCGTCGAATCAAACCTTTTATCGAATTCACAGTGCCAGAGGGAAAGGGATTGTTAGTAATGGAGACTGAGGCGGGCTAACTGGCCCGTTTTTCATTCTCATCGATTACCCTTTACTGGTGCTCCGCCAGCGTATTCCGTCAGCGCAGGCGGGGTTACCATATCATTTTCACCCATCAAAAAAAAAATTCACAGTGCCTACCACAACACGATGTATGTCATCAAATAAATTGATTGATATTAGTTGCCAAGTTGTATACTTCCTTACACCCAATTATAATAAACTGTTGAATAATTATTCAAGGTTATGGCAGAATGGCCATAAAAACATAAACAATAGAAGTGTATCATTCCGCGCACGTTTATCCTGATTATGTTACAAAGGTGCGCGCGCGCAGGGCTCCGTGCGAATTCCAATTTCAAATTCATTGCGGACTTTATTTGTATTCCTATTAGAATTTTACGTTTCCTATTACGTCATTCAAAGCTGACCCGGCAGTAATATAATTCGATAATCGTTTATTTTATTCGATTATGCATTCTTGGGGTTGTATTTTTTATCGGTGACAGTTATTAATATTGTAAGCTCGCTGTATCCTGTGGCTTTGCTCGCTAAAATCAGTAAGTACATAAAATATTCTACGTGCTAAGTTACGATAATACCAAGCCGTGTACGACATTTCATTCAAATCGGAGGGCCTACCATGAAATATTTTCCGAAATTTCAGAGCTAAACAAAACACAAATTTAATGTTAAAATTACATAATACAAGCCGTTTGGAAATATTAAAAATGTTAAAATTATATTTCTTTGGACTTTTATGATAGAATGTGTGACTAACGAAATGTTAAACTTCATTTATTGGTCCGATTTTGGTATAAATGAAAACACGAACTTGAGTCCGAAATTTCGGAATTTCATTTCATGGTAGATCCACAGTTCAGTAGTTTTTGTGTTAAAACGTAATAAACATCCATCTTTCGCAAATATTATAGTGATAGGAGCTTGTTTGCTAACACTTAGAATCTTAACGTCATAAAATTTGGTATACACGTGGCATTTGAAATGGATAAAGAAGATAGGCTGATTTTTAACCTGGTCAGTCAATAATCGGTTACACACAAAGTCACGGGTACAAACTAGTAAATAAAAATAAAAATGAAATAGAACATAAAAATAGAAATGAA